CCCTCCACACCCCCACCCCTCCCAAAATCACAGCCAGATCCACAACAAGCACCCCCACACCGCCCAGCATAAACCTCGGCGCAAACACCTTCCACACCATCAAATGTCTCCTCAGCGCCGCCGCGCCGCCCGCGCTCCCCACCACAAGCGCACCATAGTACCCCATAATCCCAAGGCTAGCTCTCAAGGCGCCTTGACGCGCGAGGGGTATGTTGTTGTGCGGTGGCGATGAGGTTGTTATGAGTGGTGGGGTGTTCCAGAGGGCGAGGAGCGGTGCTGAGAGCGCGAGAAGGAAGAGGGGCCCGAATGTGTTGAGGGTTACTGTTAGCGGTGCCCAGGGGTACGATACGGTCTTGGCCAGCACGAAAGCGGATTTCCATTGGATGGAGCTTATAACCGCCTGATGGCCCGTGCTGAAGAACGCCAACTGCCCCAGTAACGCTATCGGCACTATCTCCGCAAACGTCACCCTCGTCGTCGTGGAAGGTGTGGAGAGTGTACCGGGTGCGCTTTGGAGCAGCTGCAGAGCGAGCGCGGGATCGGTTTCGAAGGCGTGTTGGAGCGCTTTGGCGTCGCGGACTGAGTCTGTCAGCTCGAGGTGCGAGAGGAGGGCGAGCGTTGAGAGCGCGAGGGTTAGTTGGCCTGTGAGTTGCGTCGAGAGCCAGACGATTGAGAGGGCGAGGGTTATGAGGAGGAGGTAGGGCGCGCCGAGCGCGTTGGCGAAGCCCAGGACTATTACTTTCGTCTTTGCGTGCTCGTGTTCTGAAGTCGCTTCGTCCTTCGATCCTTCGGGAGGGGGAACCTTCTCGGACGTTATGAGGAGTGTGCTGGGGAACAAAGCCCAGAGCGTCCCGCATCCCACAAGCAGAGCGTACACAGCGCCCTGCGCCAGCACCGTCCTCACCGTCCTCAGCTCCACGGGCACCTCCACCCCCTCCGGCACCAGCCCAGCCGAATCGACCCACTCCAACAACCAATGCACCGTCCCCGCGCCCAGCCCGATCGGCAGTGCATACGGCAGCACGAACTCCGCGATCCCGTTGTTCGCTTTGGCTTTGGTGAGGAACAGGCGGAGGAGGTAGGGCAGGCCGAGTGCGGTTGGGAGGGCGAGGAGAGCGGCGAGGCGCGGTGGTTCGGCGATGGATGCGCCGGAGAAGAAGGTGACTGTGCACCATGGGTGTTGTTCTTCGCGGCATACGGTGCTCACGCTCATTAACCGCACACATACGGCGAATACGCCGCAGAAGAAGAGTATGCGTTTGCGGAGGTACGCGCGCGGTGCGCTGAGTGCCGCGGCGACGCTGGGTAAGAGCGACGTGATGAGGAGGAACGGCATGGCGCGGTCTTCCCAGAGTATGAAAGAGTTTGAGAGGAACGAGAGGGGGTGGAGCAGGAGCGGGATAAGCGCCCAGCTCAGATTGATCTGCGGGCGCATGATGCCGAAGAGTGTGAACGAGCTCCCTGCGGCGGCGCCGAACAGGATGTGCTGAACCAGCGACACGCCAGGGAGCGTGCTGAGTGCCCAGGGCCCGAGACACGCGATGGCGCCTGCTGCTGCACCGGCGCCTAAACGCGCGGGGAGACCTTCGCTAGCGACGTCGTAGTACTTTGCCGAGCGTCCTGCTGCGCCGTACAGCGTCCATCCCACGACGAGCGCCAATGCCAGTACACCCATCCCAAGCGCAATGAGGACAATGTTGAACTGCGCCCAGAGCGAACGGCACGTCTCGAGCGCCAGACGCGTGTACTGGAGCTGATTCGCCCACTTCTTGCGCGGGACCGGTTCCTCGCTCGCAAGCGCCCACGCCGCCTGCAGATCAGCCCAGACGGCGTCCAACTCGCCGCCGGCAGAAGAATCGCGGTACGCCGTGAGATATCGATGTATCTGTTCGGCATTGAGGTCGAGCGCTTCAGCATAATCGCTCCCGTCCCTGTCGCGCCAGAATACTTCGGGGATGACGGTGCCGAGGTTGTTGAATGGGATTGGGAGGCCGAGGAGGAGGGCGAGGGTGGGGAGGATGTCTATCTGTTGAACTGCGCGTGAGGGTCCTGGGGCGCCGGGGAAGGTGGTGCCTTTGAGGGCTTCGGGCGCGACGTAGCTTGCGCGGACGGATAGAGGGGTTTTGGAGTATATCCATAGCGCGGAGGACGTCTCGAGGTCGGTATCGCCTCCATGATCGCCGCGCCTGTCCATCCCGTGATCACCTAGCACAACCAACAACGTATCCTTATCCATCGCCTCCACCACCCGCGTCAACAGGTCGTTCATCTGCTGCAGCTTCTTGCGCATCTCGGGGTGGTCCGGGCCGAGGCGGTGCCCGACGTGGTCGACGCCGAGGAAGTGGCCGATGAGAAGGTCCCATGATTTGCGGTTGGAGAGGAGGGGGAAGAGGTGCGATTCGACGCCGGTGTCGACTGTGTGCAGGTCTTCGACGTTGAAGGAGTCGAAGCGGTGGGTCATGTTTGGCGCGAAGGAGTCCGGGAAGACTGTCAGCCAGGTATCGTCACCCATGAAGGCAACCTATGTTGTATGTCAGCATCTGTCTATTGTATGTGAGGTAGACTATACATACCTTCTTGTTCGCGTTTACGAACTGCTTGACCAACGAGTCCTCGTCGATACTCGCTCCTCCAAAGTTATGTCCGACATCCACAAACGTCGGCAGACTCCCCGTAACGAGTCCCTTGATCCTCTGAAGCGTAGTCGTAGGCGGGTCCGCGTACGCATTATAGATAAACGAGTTCCTCGGCTGCGTCGCGCTCAGCTCCCTCGGCAAGCTCAACACATCGTGATGGAACGGCGACGAGGGTACGGGCGGGTTGTTGGTGATGAAGTCAAAGCGCAGGGCGTCAATAATAAGAACAACCGCGCGTTTGTGCGTCGGGTAGAGGGTGCAGTTTTTGTTTGGGCACGAGGAGATGTCTGGTAGGGAGAGGCGGCTGAGGAGAAAGCCGCGCGTGAAGAGGTAGAGCCCGATGAGGTGCAGAGCCGCTACGTAGAGTAGCGGCCAGGAGTACTTCCCGAGCATATTGTCGCTCGGCAACGTACTCTGATTCTGAGCCTGTCGAGGTGGAGGTGGAGAACAAGTTGTACGCTGCGATACGCGCTCCGCCGACGCGTCTGGGCGATTTCCACGTGTGCGCGCATGGACACGGGTCCGCAGTGCCACAGCTCGACCCGAACCGGAACCCCTCATCTCGACTCACTACCTCCCGTCTAACATGAGGCTCAAATGGCTTCCAGTGGGTTCTTCCATGCACAAGTTCTGACAGGATGCGATACTGCTTCCTGTAGGTTTCGATGGTTGTCACGCACAGCCTTCTTGCTCATTGGCGCTGAGAGTAGTATTTGTATATATAATCGTCAGATAACATTACTGCCAGGTCCTCCAGCTGACACGCCACCTCCGTCTTTCGCATGCTCCTCCCGCGCCCTACTCTGCTCGTACTCGCCTCGTACATAAGCCTAGTGCTGGCCAAGAATTCAGACTTGACGGCCTGTCTGGCCCGGATTCAAAGCGGCGCGCTCGTCTTGCCCCCCAATAGCACCCTGGACAGCACAGGACGACCTACAAATGCAACCAACGCCACAGCGATACCCTACTCCGTATGCGTACGGGAATGCGGCCCGTACCCGGCTGCGTTTGACTGGACCACCTTCAGTACCAATTTCAGTACCTGGATGCTCCCATGGCTCGCCTTGTTATCGCAGTTGCCTTTTGGCTCCCGGCAATGGCCGAACATCATGTCCGTCCTCTTGACGCTCGGGTCCCCAGCGCTAGCCGCATATTCGCTCATCTTATGTGTGTTCAACTGGAACTGGGTGCCCAGCGCTTTCAAGGGGATCGACTACCCGAACGTCGTATCCGCGTGTCTTGTCCTAGGAAGCCTGCAACATGTGCCGTTACAGGTCGATCAGACGCCTGCGTTGCTCGCCGGTCTTGTGGTATTACCCGAGAATGATCAGTGGTGGCACACTATGGACGAGGGACTGAACTACCAAGAGGATTGGTCGACTGCCTTGTTCCTGCAGATCGTCTGGGTAGTGGTTGCTTACGGTATTATCATCACATCTGTTTGACGCCTTTCTTCACGGCTGACATCTCCTTTGCGTAGTCTTCACCATCATGAGCGCAATGGGAGAAGGTCCCGACGACTTTCAGACCAGTGGACGGGGAACGAGCACGCTGTTCGTGTGGTTGTTATTCTTGGGTACGTGCGGTGTAACCCGGCCGGGTCTCCTGCGGCTGATGTTTTGTTCGGCTTCTAGTGATAGGATGGCAACGTTTTCTCCCTCGGTGCGGCTACGCGCGCGTTATCGACGTACTTCGGCAGGCAAATACGCAAGTGTACGAGGCGCTGATGGCACCACCGATCTCGACGGGACTTAACGCTCAAACTCTCCCGTCGCCACGCGTAAGAGGTGAAGAGGCGCATCGCCGACGAGACCGCGAGAACGCTCAATATATGTTTCTGAGGAAGCGCAGCGACAGTTTTCCTTTTTGTCTTACTGGCGAGTACAGAGGAGATCATGATGCCGGCGCGTCTATCTACAGCTACGCGCGTCTTATACCGTGGTCCAAGAACGTCGAGCTGGTCGCTGGAGCCTTCCGCGCTGCTGCTCACGTAGCAGCGGTCCGTGATATTGACGTTTGGAAACAGGACGATGCTCGTCGGAACTCATTGCCGCAGGTCATGAGCATCATACGACATTACGTGCGGCCAATTGACTGGAAGACGATCCTCAAATCTTGTATGATCGCAAACGTACTTGCCATGGCTCTACACTGGGGAAACATTGGTAGCGCAATCTTGTACTTCGTGAGTACTTTGAGTGTCGATTGATGACGTGTGCGGCGTAGGCTCATCGGGATGGTTGTTCTAGTACGATACACCCACGACAGGCTTGGGCTGTCGCAGTGGCGCCCTTCTTGTTTACGCGTGTCTTGGGACCATTATTCACATCTTCATGGTCGTATCGTCATTTCTCACCCATCATGCATCGACGGAAGTACGAGAACGAAGACGCAACTCCATTCGCGAACTCGCTCGCCCGGCATTCCGACTATCTCCGCAGACTATAGGACTGTTTTCAACTGTACTACGCCGCACTGCGAAAGCGTTGGCCGCACTAAATGCCATAATCATCCTCGCAACATGCATGTCGCTCTTTTCAAACGTTTTTACCAATTGCTGGTGCAATGCGAGCTTCTTCCCCCACGGATTTAGCACCTTCACCACCATTGCGGTTCAGCCATATGACGAGGCTTCGATGCTTCAAGGCTGGTCATATGGTACGTTCATATTGGGTTATACAGGCGCGACCGGATGAATGAACGCAGATCTACACAGCGATGATCTTTTCTTGGGGATCGACCATTGCGCTCATCGGTACGTCTGTAAGCGACTCTTGTATCTTTGTATAATCTCACTGGGATTGAAGTTTGTGTTTATGCCTTTACCCGTCCGGTCAAACCAGCGGATCATTCCCGCCCACGAGACGCAGCAATCGAGCGCAGGCGACGTGGCACTCATCGGCGAGTTCCAGCGCAGACTCGAAGCTGAACTGACTTCCGTAGGCCGTAATACGGATGCGAGTGTACAACTTGGTGGGATCGCCCTCGGAGTTGGATGTAGGGTACACAGAGCGAGCGAAACCAACGCCGCGTCACGCAAACCATAGGAGAATTCGGAAATGTGTTACCGTTGTGATAGGCCGCGTAGCTCGAAGAGCAGTATCTGCGCGCGCATACAGCCTGAATAGCCTCTTCAGACAGTGTATATAGTCGCTGTGCGCTCAGCGCATGTACATGACAGCGGAAGGGTTCGCCGCGTCACCGACCACTGGTTCTTGTTCCGACTCGCCACACGTGAAGAGGCATTGAGGACGCCGATGAGATGTACAGCGGCTACGTAGCGTGGCGGATATGTACGAGTGCTACCCGGCCATCTTGTCGCCATGAAGTCTGGCTTGAAATACAAGTCGTGGAACCGTGCTAGTCTCCTTCGCAGCCTTGAGTTGTGGGGAAGATCCCCGATGGCAACCCGAGGTGGCACGCGTCCGAAAGCAGCGCGCGTCGAAAGGCCCTTTCTCATTGTTCCACTCATAAGGAAACCATCCATTCAAGATGGGCTCGTGCGACATGCAAGTATCACAGAACAGTGTGGGAAAGGTGAGCGCTTGGGCACAGGTTGCACTGCCTGGCTCGGCCCGACACGCGGCTTTACGGGCCGAAAACTCGGCCGACCGCAAAAGCGGCAGCTCTCTTCCTTCGTTTGACTTCAACGCCCATGACAGCTATTCAGAATCTGCACCGCCACTACGAGTTGGCCCCACGGTGCTCTGACTAGCGAATATATCGCATATGTGTCTATCGTGCACTCTCCGCTTTATTGGACAAACGTCCTATGTTGCGCAATGCAATACTTGCTCGAGACTACCATGAAGTGCGATGGGGGCTCCCAGTCTATCGCCAGGGGCACCTTTCTAGAGTGATACATGTCGCGCTGTCTATCGTGCTGTTGCGGAAAGCTTGTCTGCTGCGCTTTCCTGGTGATATACAGCTGTCAAAGGCTGTGTGCTATCCTGGCATGGCATCCTCGCTAGCCAGTGCGTATCTTCCCGCTCCTCATATACTGCAGGTTCACTGAGTTGTCAAGCAGAGCATTGCGGGAGTTTGTGACTCCGCTGTCAAGTCGACCTCAGTTCACAAACATCTTTATCCCCGTTCAAGGGGCACAATTACAGGCCCCGTCGATGATTACAACGGTACCCGTCGAAATAAAGGTTTCAGGATACCTGCACGGCCACGTCAGCACCCGCAAACAACTCGGGAAGAGAGGAAGACATTTTGAGAGAGATAAGACCTGCCATGCTAGACGTCCATTGGGTGCTTGTCAGTGCTGTTTATAAGGCGTGGCTGGCTGAGGTCGCAGGGCACGCATCGCCCCTGCCCCAATAAGCCGATGGCACGCGTGCCCGCATGTGTCTGTCTCCTCTGGCTATTTTCCCTCATCGTGGTCGTTGAGGCCACCGACTACCCAACTCTCACTGGCAATCGGAGCGTCATCGACTACACTACTTGTCTTCAATATCGCCTCGCCCAAGTCCGGGCTGGCAACTTGACGTCGAATCATTCTTACCGTAACGGCGGCGCTCTCGATAGTCACGGACACAATATATCGGACCGCACTAAGGCCACCTCTATACCCTACGACTTATGCGTCAACGAATGCGGTGCTGGGCCAGAGTCCTTCGACTGGACTATCTTCAGCACTAACCTCAGCACCTGGCTGCTACCATGGCTCGCTCTGGTATCTCAACTTCCATTCGGTTCTCAAAGCCGACAACAGAACGTGCTCTCCATCTTTCTCACCGTAGGCTCACCAGCGCTCGCCGCTTACTCGCTTATCATCTGTGTGCTCAACTGGGCTTGGGTCCCGCGCGCTTTTGAGGGCATCCAATACCCGAACGTCGATCACGCCTGGCATGTACTCGGTAGTCTGCAACACTCGCCCTTGCACGTGGAAAGGGTTGAAGGGATGCTCGCTAGTCTCGTCGTCCTGCCGGAGAACGATCAGTGGTGGGAGAACCTGGCAAAGGGACTGAACTATGAGGAGACTTGGACAACCGCCATCATCCTCCAGACAGCCTGGGTGGTCATTGCGTTTAGTACGTGTACATCTCTCGAGATCGGTATAGACGTAACTGATCGTGGCCCTCTCTCTCTCAGTCCTCAACCTTGTCGATTCTTTCCAAGACGGCATCACCAACAACTTCGAGAGTAGCGGAAGGGGGACGGGGACACTCTTCCTCTGGCTCTTACCTCTCGGTGAGCGCCCTTCCGATGACATGTTGAAGTATCAACCTGACCATGACCCACAGTCATCGGTTGGCAGCGACTCTCCCCCCGCTGTGACTACGCAAGGGTTCGCGACGCTCTTGAACGCGCTAACGAGAACGTTTACTATGTTGCTGATCACGTCAAGACCACCATCTACAGACCTTATGCGCCTCACGAGTCTATCGCATTCCCATCTCCTCAGTCCAGCAGTAGTCTCTCGCCGCCCGCACCACTCAAGCTCCGCACCGCCGCTCCTATACCCTCCCCCAGCAAGTGCCAGAATCGGTTCCCATTCGCCCTGCTACAGTGCGATGATGACCGAGGCGCCAGCGCACCCATTTATAGCGATTCGCGCCTATTACCGTGGTCGACTAGCGTCGAACTTGTGTCTGGTGCATTCCGCATCGCGGCAACAGTCATGAAAGAACAAGGGATCAATCCGGCCAAGGATGGACAGGCTCGACGCAGGTTTCTCGCCGAGGTCAGTCGCCGCATTCAGCAGCACCAGTACCGGCTCAACTGGCGTACGCTCATTCGACGATGTGCCATCGCCGGGGTGTTGGCAATCATTCTTCACTGGGGAGCCATTGGAAGTGCGCTCATATACGCGGTGAGCCTAACTTCCTATACTACGATTCTTACCCATCTAACATAGTCATTTCTTAGTACTACACCTTCACATCAGGACTTGGCTGCCGCGCCGTCTCATTCTTACTCTACGCGGTGGTCGGGACATTCATCTGGCTCCTCATCGTGTCCTCCTCCTTCATCGTCCACTACGCGCAATGGCTCGAACGTCAACGGCGCCTTCCTCGCCTCGATACATCTCGCTATCACCTATCCCCGGTCTTTGCACGCAGACTTGCGAAAGCCTTGCGCATACTGGGCAAGGTGTTAGCCGTTTGCAACGCTGTCTGGATAGTTACCTCTTGCCTGTTCCTGTTCTCCAACTTCTACACCCGCTGCTGGTGTGATTCGAGTGTGCTAGGTCGCGGGGCAAAGAATGCTTTCACCCTGATTGCACCGGATAATGACGATGTGACACAGCTGACCAACGCATGGGTCGGAGGTATGTACCCCGCACTCAACTTGAGGGTTGACTAGACGTATCTGATGTTCTCCTCAGCTATCATCCTGTCTCTGGGTGCAGTTGCGGCATTCATCGGTATGTGCTTCACTCGGAGTTTGTCTCTCTTCTTGTCGCTGAACTCGCCCTCCAGGCTTCGTCTATATGCACGTTGAACCCGTGCCACCGGATCCACATGCGGTTCAGCTTGAAGACCCGAACGCATATATGGGTGAAGGATACTTCCCGGTGGAGCGTCACGATAGCGAATATGGGGTCAAGACTTCTCATGTCTACGACCCGTATAGTAGCCCGGAGATCAATGCCTTTTCGCCTGAAGGGATACCCTTGATGCCTTCCAGCTCGTCTCACTTGCCTCGTCTTTGAAGTCTCCGCTTACGGACCTGACTCTACCTTAGTTCTGGTTTCAACTTTGGACACTGTGAACGTGAGCTTGTGCTTTGATATGCCTTACCTAGCTCAGACGAACGTCAAGTTATGTATACCCTTGGGACTTCTGCGACGATGTAGCCTCTGTACGTTGTAGTGTGACGATCGTGTCGACGACTGTGTATTTGTCTCGTTGGTCCTCGTACACATTCTATGCCTCCAAGGGAGTTCCGCCCGTGACTTCGCGAAGTCAACGCTGCAGATGGTAGTGGTGCTCAGTGCGGCACGAGAAGGGATCCGTGGGTGTCGGAAGACAGCGCCGTTGAATACACGAGAGGTGTCGCTGACAATGCCTGCTTTGAGCGTAGTGGTGCCGGTAGATGCGTGTATCCATATGCATATACTGAGAAGAACCAGAACCACAAGCAAGCAAGCAAGCGGAGAAGCTTTATAGAGTGGCGCCGGCTCTGAAATCCGAGTCTGTACAGAGCACCTGAGCCACTTCGAGGCTTCCTGACCATCGGTCCGGTCATCCGAATGTACAGACGCATACCGGTTATTGAACCAACATTGATAGCCTATCTCCTCAAGCAGTGCACAGACTACGGTGGCCCACCACAAGCGCCGCACAGTGCTCCGCCTATCGAGGCGGCGCAGATACGTAGTACTAGCGATCGGGCAGCTCAAGAGCACAGCGCCCGATCGCTATTCGGCTGCTTTAACCTGAAGCATGAACAAAGGGCACTAGGTTCGGGTACTGGGTATCGCCATAGCCGGAGTCATACTTGTATGTTGTGTTGAGTCTTGAAACGAAGAAGAGAGGAGAGGAGATAGAGGCGGTATCGCCGCTGTTGCTGCGCCCACAGTGGGCGCGGCGGTGCACCGGTCTGCGGATAGACGCGATGGGCTGCTTTTGAGATAAGGTTGTCGAAGGGGTGTATAGCGTGCTGTATCATGTATAGGTTGAGCGGCTGAAGATAGTAAGGGCTTTCGTGGAGGCATCGACTGCGATCGCACTGGTGGGTCAAGCGTTTCAGGGCTTCAAGCTTCACGATAGTAAACGATGAATCCAATGGAAGTGTAGCGGAGGTAGGTTGTATAGTCCATTGAATGGTCAGGGTCCTAATCGTCCTCGCGTACACGTATGGAGATCCCGCTATGCACTCTACCCTCCGGGTAGTCGAACATGGTAGACCGGGGGCGGATAGAGGGAACATCAAGTTCACTAAACAATCAGAATCAGCGTACAATCCGAGCGTATCATGATCACTTATGCGTACACGGATGTGGATCCTGATTCCGTCCAAAAGGCCCTTCTCTCTCAATGGCAGAGGAACATCACCGGTAGCGAGTAGACGCGAAGGCACAAGCGGCGGGTTGCCATAACAAAGCGAGTTACAGGCGCGAAACTCCGACGCCTGGTCTCTGTCAACTGTGCGAATACGCCCTGAGCATCTGAGCGTGCATACGGTAGCATACATGACAGCGGGAAGCAGCACGCCACAAATCGTGGCTCATCACGGCTCGGAGAGCAGCTGTCGCGGAGCTCTTCCACCATCAGCTGGTCCGAGGTCGTCGTGGATCCGTGTATGTTCTCCGAATACTATACGCGGTATCCGCTCAGATCGACCGGGAGTGTGAAGACACATGAAGAGGAGTGAGGCGTGGAGGTGCGGCTCGAGGTCCATGGACCAGCATATGGACTGGAGATAACAAGGCGTGAGAGTACAGCGGTCAATGGCCAGATGGAGATGAGGAGGCGCGCATCGATGAGGGCGCCTGGCGGACCGAGAAGATCATACTCAAAGTACCGCATATCCTCGTAAGTACGTGGATTTTGGATTCGTATGTCGTCTAGAGGGTCTCGACGTCGTGTCTAGCCCTACAACACCAACGGGATCGACGGATAGGCTAGCAGGTATCGTCGATTGTACAGTGAGCGTTTGTAGACTGGGACAAGATCTGTACAAGCGAGTAAGACTGCAGTTCTCGGCGTACGTAGTGCATGTTGACATACCCGGTGCGCCCACAGACTATAGAGCAGGGCGGTGCACTGCACCCGCGGAGAACGCGGCGTGGCTCGACATCGGACGCTCGAGTCATTTTGGCGGCCTCGAGGTCACACCTATTCATCGATCTGCAGCACCTTGTACCCGCTGGCGTGTACGGCGTACAGAGTTTGGTGTGTGGTACCGGTTTGTAGGAGTGCAGATGTGGAGAGGTATACAGCTCGGCGACCAGCTGAGATACCTAGCTGTACGGCGATGAAGGCACGTGAAAGGACTTGAGCGTTCGAGCGGACCAGATTCCACCAGATGGAGAGGGAGAAGCATATAGCAAGGTACGCGTCGGGCAAAGCAGCACAGCGTGACGGAGGGCAAGTTCGGAATAAAGCTTCGGTGTGGAAGCGTCGGAGGAAGAGGTTCGGTGCCGGGCCACAGTGCGAAGGCGATGCTGTGCGGTGGACGAGACGTCGACTGTGGACTTCTAGCGTACAACTACAACCTCCAATTGTCCAAAGCTCTTCCAGCCGAACCAGCTGATTGACCTGCATGCGTATCGTATCGTATAGAATAGATGGAGGATCTCGTATGTAGCGCGATGAGAGCGGACTGCCAGCGCGGGTAGGATTGACGGGATCGTTCAGAGCGCTCTCATGTCGAATGATGACCGGGATGGTCGCCAAGGGCAGAACAAAGGGTATTTCGACGTGTGTCAACATGACGGCAGCAGACATATGCACCTGAACATCGTGGTCGGAATACGTTTCCGCTCTGGGCGATTTGCTGTGCGAGGACACCCAGGTACGCAACGCGTATTCGAGGTGCACCGCTTGACGAGTCAGGGGAGCGGTTGCGGCGTATGTACAAGCTCAAGCTTTTCCCGTCGAGTGTATCTTGATCAAATGGATCGGCGTAGTTGGTTGGATAGATGGGAGATGGGAAGGACGGATGTGGGTGTGCATGTGCGCGCGTGTCAAAGCGTGGGAGGGCGGCCATTGGGCAGATGATCTGGAATGATTCGTTTGGATGACATCGTTTATGGATTATTGTTCATCTGGCTGGCCGTACTGTACATCGTAAAGCAATACACAACGAGGCTGGCGAGATAAGTAAGCGATGCGAGCGCGTATTCCAGAAAGTGAGAGGGTGCGGATAAGCGGTGCAAAGAAGAAACGCTCAAAAGAGGAGACGCGGCACGCGGGAGAGTTGGACTGCTTTAGCCGGGGATTGATACCCCGGGCGTCGTGCATCTTGATCAGTACTGTGCGGTACAAGTATACGCGATGGCGGGCGCGCCAGGGCAGCAGTACCCGACCACGTCGACGATGATCGGCAACCCTCCCACGTTCTACGACGAGTCTGCCGCGCACGAGCAGCAGCCCCAGGGCGCGTACGAGGCCTGGCAGCAGCAGCAGTACCACTACCCGCCCCAGCAGCCCCAGCAACAGCCTATCCAGAACCAGTACCACTTTGTCAATTCGGGCACCGCAGCCCACGACTCTTTCTTCCCGCCCGTCACGCTCAACGACTATCCCGCCTATTTCCCGCCACAGCCCGCGTACGACGCACAGGCAGATAACACCACCCAGTGGATCCACCACAACCCGCACTCCCAGCCGGCATCTGCCGTGTCGACCGTCCCGCCGACGCCTTGGCCATCGACGACCACCGCTGGCCAGCAGCCCGCTCACGCTGCGGCCGCGCCGCAGGAGCCGGCGCCCGCCGCTCCCGCCGCGACAACCCAGGCGCCAAAGCGCAAGCGCCCGCGGAAGGGCAAGGCTACGGTACGCGCGGACGCGGACGACAGCGAGAGCGACTCTGGCGACGACGGCCCCGCGTTCTTCCAGGATGACGGCCTCAACCTTGGCCTCCAGACCGGCCCGCCGCCCGTCGGTCTGCCCTCACGGCTGTGCGTATATTCCTCCACATATTCCTCGCAGTCAAACCGTACTCACGTCATCACTTCTCCCTTCCATTCATCCTATCCTCCTGCTCGCGTCCTTCTCGCCGATCTTGCTCGCTCGCATCTGTCGAATCGAATCCGGATACAATACTTCCACACCCGCCCGGCCCTTTATACGCTCCTGACTTCGACGCATTTGACCGCCATGCACGCTCACACACACTGCGCGTGTTGATGCCGTACGATCGTGGCTCGCGACGTTCTCCGGCGTGTCCTTCACCGGTCGCTCAATGTTACTCCTCCTGGCGACAATCCCCGGTCCCGACCGGATGACGACGCGCTCTGCTCCTTCTGGATCCCGATACTTTCGGCCATCCCTCCTTGGCGTCTTCGACCACATTTATTCCCGGCCCTCGTGAATATTCTGCTGGCCATTTCGTTCGGCTACTCTATTTTCGACGGACCGGCACTTGGGCCTGACGCCTTCTCTGCAACCCTATGACCGCACCCATGTTCTCATACGCAGGCCTGGCGCCTGCACATACTGCAAGCGCCTCAAGATGAAATGCGACTTCCCACCTGGAGCAAACGTCTGCAAACGCTGCCGCGCGGGGAACCATCACTGCGTCGTCGAAGGCCGAAAGCCACGGAGTGCACCCAAGTGCGTACCAATTTACTTTGTATTCTCGCAGCATGCACCTTCGTCTTCCCTCGCTCTCACCGTATACATCGCCTATCACAACTGCGTATCCTGATCTTTGCGCCTCGATCCACATCTCTCATATCCATCTTCTCGCACTGGCCGTATACCCGAATGCAGACCGAGCGCTGACGATCCATCTCTGACAGCAAACGCGAATACCTGTTGGCCCAGCTCCGCCAAAAGGATGGCATCATCGAGAGCCTGCTCAAGCAGCTGCACAACCCGTACCTCGCCACACCGCTTTCCATCGCCGCGTATCGCATGGCTACGCCCGATGCCGACCACCACAGGCAGAATGTCGTGTACGTGGCTCTTTTCATACTTGTATGGGTTTATTAGGCGCTGACAGGGACTTGGAACTTTTAGCGCTTGGCTTGACAGGCTGCAGTCGTCCGTGCGAAACCCGCCGCGTGGCCCTGGCGGCGTAGATATGCAGGCGTTCTCGCTCGATAGCCGCGTTCGGGCAACACCGAGCGCCAAGGGCGGTTCCGCACGCGGTGAAGGCGAGAGCGACGAGGAAGGTATGCATATAGTCGCTTCCGCTGCGTTCTAACACGAGCTTACTGTGATTCTACAGACGAGGAAGCCGAAGCATCATCCGATGACCCGCCTCTCTCCGGTTCGACCGCCGCAGACGAAGCCCAGCTCCCCGCCGACCCCTCCGTCCCAATCGGCGCCCTCGCCCAACTCGCCATCTCCTCATCCTACACCGACCTCGCCTCGCCGCAACGCAAGAAGAACAAAGCGCCTTCCTCTCCTTCTGGCGTCAAGGCCAAGGACGGCAGCACGCCCGAGGGCGAGACGGCTGGCAAGGAAGGTGCGAAGGAGGACGGGAAGACGCCCGATGAGGATGAGGAGGACCGCGGGCCGGTGGGCATTGCGAACGCGGCGTACTTTGAGGCTGGGCCGAGCTCGGATTTGAGCAAGAGGATGAGCTTGATTGATAAGACTGCGCCGCCGGATATTTTGGTGCATGGGCTTGTCACGCCTGAGGACGTCGAGAAGCTGTTCCAGATGTGAGTACCTTCTCTCAGGTGCCTATGGAATGGCGAGGCTGATGTGCATTGTTTTGTAGCTTTTATACCCGCGTGAACCCGTTCATTGGTGTGCTTGACCCGGTGTTGCATACGCCTAGCAGCACGTTTAGCCGTTGCCCGTTCCTCTTTACGGTTGTATGCGCTGTTGCGTTACGGTATAGCCAACGCTCGGACGCCTACCCGCTCGCTATGCACTTCGCCAAGGTTCGCCTCTTTCCCTCTGACGGCCATTGTAGCAATACCTGACTAGCGATTGCAGAGTGCAGCAGCACACGCCCTCGTGGACGGCTGGAAGAGCGTCGAGTTGTGCCAAGCCTACATCCTCATGTCCATCTACGCCGTCCCCGCCCGGCGCTGGGAAGAAGACCGCTCCTGGCTCTACACCGGCCTCGCCATCCGCATCGCGACCGATCTGAACCTGCACATGTACAGCTCGCGCAAGCCGAAGAACGAAGCCGAGGCGCGCGAGCTCATCAACCGCACGCGGGTCTGGATGATCTGCTTCAACCTGGACAAGAGCACCGCGACGCAGTTCGGGAAGCCCAGTACGCTCAAGGAGGACAGGATCATTCGCGAAGGCCCGGAGTGGTATAATCGCTCGCCGAGCAACGATCCGTTTGATATTCATCTGGTGGCGTATTCGAGCTTGATGAGGGTGCTTACGCGGTTCCACGCGGAGATTTTTATCGAGCCGGATTCGTCGACGGGGTTGAATCGGACGGTGGACTTCCATGGGATCGCGTTGAAGTATGATCAGGAGCTGGAGAAGACGTTCGAGGAGTGGACGGGGAGGTTCCAGCACGACAGCGACCATAACAGTGCGTTCTTTTTCTCGCCCGTCGAAATCCTAATCTTGCATAGATGCTAACGCCCTTCTTAGACCCCGCCGCGGAGTTCCGCTGCAAGTTGCTGCCCTTCTACGTTAACTACAGCCGGCTCGTCGTGCTCTCGTTTGCGTTCCAGCAGGCGTTCCAGCGCGGCTTCGAGCGCAACGACGAGGTCATTTTCGCCAAGAGTCTCCAAGCCGCGCGCACGGTCATCAACGTGCTCGTCGACTCGCTCGCGCCGTCCGGATACCTCCGCTACGCGCCCGACGGCCACTTTGTATTCGGCGCATTCGCGAGCGCGTTCATGCTCAAGCTGCTCCGTCCGGAGTGCCGCATCTTCGCGCGCCAGGGGCTGGACGAGACCATTTATAGCACTATTGAAAGGCTGGTGCATACGTTCGGCGCGCCGGCTATTGCTGTGGACGAGCGCCATACTCCGCGCTTGTATAGCGATTTCCTGGGACGGCTGCTCGCGAAGCATCGTCGTGATGCCGCCGCGGCTGCTCGTGCTGCAGCGCGCCAGAACCGACCGGGTGCGGGTCAGCAGCAGCGCACCCAAAATCAGGGACAGCGTCAAGGTGGTGGTGCGGCGGGTCCGGGTGCAGGCGCTGGTGGTGCCGCCCAGGGACAGGGCGGGCAGGCTCAGCATGGTGGCGCGCAGATGCAGCAGAGGCCTGCGGCTGCTCCTGAGCTCAAGGCGCCGGCAAACGAGGATCCGGGTGCTGGGTACCCGACGCCGAGCTCGCTGCATAGCGAGGATGGTGGGCAGGCCCAGCAACCGCAGCAGTACGCGACGTATAATCAGCAGTACGCGCCGGCGTTTGCTACTGCTACTGGCCAGCCGCAAGGCCAACAGCAGCTCAGCCCGACCTACGCGACGTATGGCAGCCCGGGCTCGTACAGCAATAATGGGACAAGCCCGGCGGGATCGTACAATGCCAGCCCGAACACGTTCCACACGCAGCAGTTGCATGCTAGTCCCAGCCAGACGCTCGTCCAGCCGCAGTCGAGTCCTGCGTCGTACACGAATAGCCAGCAGACGTCGCCGTTTGTTCAGGCGCAGAACTTTGCGGGCTTTGGGACGCAAGGTCAGCAGGCGCAGGGACAGTACCAGCAGCAGCTCCATCGATCGGCGTCGCAGCAGCAGCTTCAGGCGTCTGCATCGCAGCAGTCGCAATTGCACCACTCGACGTCGCAGCAGCAGCTGAACGGCGTGTACCAGGCCGACGCGAGCGTCTCGGGCTTGTTCGGTACGCCGCAGATGGGCACGGACTTCAACTTCGCGTTTGACGGCGGGCTGCCGCTCATTAGCGACGATACGCCCGCGCCGATGAAGGCGCTCAGCCAGTCGACGTTTTGGGATACTATGATGATGCCGGGGTGGAGCTGGCCGATGGACGACCCGATGAATGGGGGTGGGCATCAGCAGCAGCAGCAGATTGCGCAGGCTGCGATGGGTCAGCAGCAGAGTTTCCAGCCGTATGTACCCCAGGTGCCGGTGTCGATGTGATCTTCTTTCTTTGTAGATATTTCTCGTGGTTTCGAATCACCCAAGCAAATGTATATACGTCGAGTTTCTTATAGCTACTACGCCTATGCCCTCGCTTTCCTAGTTCCCTTCGTCGTCGGTCATGTTTTGAGTTTGTCCATCCGTTCTCGGTTCTGCGTCATGCCCATCGCCCACGATTATTCTTCTCTCTTCCTCCCCAATCTCCCCCACTCTCCAGCTTAGCTATATCGACCGGTTCTCTTCCGTTTTGGCTTTAGTATATCGTCAATGTATCGGTAGTGTACGATTTGAATGTCTATTGTCGGCAAAAACGGTCTTATGATGCGGAGTTGTGACGCTCGCGCGCTATCTATGTGAGGTGCTTGTCTACGCGAATAAGTAAGGGTATGTGGTCAAGGAGTATTGTACATGGTCACTGCGCATGAAGCTGCGATGGCTGGCTGATAGGTACGACTTTCGTGGAAGAACTCGACTCTTGACTCGATGTTATCGTGGAATAGGAGGACTCGGAGCTTGAGACTGAAGAACGCCGTACGTCTGAGAAGGACTCGATATGGCGCGGACTGTACGGATTCAATGTACGGGCAGGGGGCGACTGTCCGAGGGTCTCCCTCAGCGAGCGACGACGCTTTCTTGCGTGCTCCTCGGGTGCTTCGGCTTGAAGCATGTTCGGATCCGGTGGCGCAGGGTCGACGTGCATGTAGACGAAGCCTTGAAATGGTCAGGGCCTGTCAGGGCGTGCCACAACCCGATGAACACGGTTATTACTTACCGATGAAGATGACCAAAGAAGCTAGAGACATGACGATGGCTGAAGACTCAGTCAGCAATACACTCAAAAGATAAGATGCGATGAATGTACCAGCGATGAAACCAGTCTTTAGCTGTTTCGTATCATCGTCGGTTGGTGCGATGACATTGAACGAGTCCCTGCCCCGGCCGAGCACGCTCGAGTCGCACCAACAGCGGGAGTAGAAGTTCGAGAACAGGAAGATGCACGCGACGACGATGAAGATGGCGTTCAAGCTCGCGAGCACTTTCCCGGATACTCGCAGGAAGGTTACGGTCATTCGTATCATCCCAGGAGAAGGGTGCCAATGCTTGGACGTGCTTTCGCGAGGTTCCGTCTGGCGTAGTTGCTCAAGCCATTGAGCATAGTGATTGAGGAATGATGAAGAGACGATGGCGATCCAAGCTATGTGGCCAACCGCGGCGTACAACAGGAAGGAACCGCTACGGCAGCCTAAGCCAGACGTAGGCGTCAGCCACTATGGATGTAATGCGTCAGGGTGGAGAACAAACATGTCATCAAAAGAACATCGCACCGAGTACACAACGGCGCTACCTACCGTGCCCCAATGGAGCATCGTAGCTAGAACTACCGCAAAGCTGACCCGTCGTATGATAGTGCGCCAATCAAGCGGCCGTACACTCTGGTGTATACGATGTTCAACATCATGGTGGACGCTGCGGCGGGCACGTCGATCGTTTGGGTCCAGATTCCGCGAAGCCATCACTTCCGCGGCAGCATGAAACGCGCCGGCCACGAGCTCGACATTCATCGTCCAGGGAAGCAACCGCGAGTCGCTGTATATCGGCGCACTCGCACTTCTGTCGTCATCGTAGTGCATCAAGGCAAACGGGAAGCGTGTTCTGCACTTTCGTACTGAAGGTCCTGTACTCGTCTCAGGGCCAGGACGGCGTCGCGGTGAGCTGACGATATCGACGAGTTGAGGCTGCACCGAAAGAAACGGTGTGGGTTCCCGACGTGAGAGCGGGGTCTTGACGACTTCGCTGAGCGAATCACTGATCGTGTATACAGTCTCGTTGGCCCGTTGGAGGGCGTCACGGACCCGCACAAAGTCGCATCGAGGGGAAAGCCTCTGCCATCCTATAACTGTTTGGGGAATCTGAGCTCGGCTGGAGCGACTGGAGCTTGTCCGAAAATGTACCTAGAGCCAATATCCACAGGAATAATGTACCCGTGCCTCTGCCACTGCTCTTGAAATCATTCCCTAGACCGTTTTGGAAGGAGTCGACAACCGTGAGAGCTGTCTTTGCTCAGTCAGCGACATCATGCAGTCAAAAGATGGAACGTACCGAAGGCGACAACGACCCAGGCTGTCTGGAAGATGATGGCGGTTGTCCACGTCTCTTCATAATCTAGACCGCGGGCCAAACATTCCCACCACTGATCGTTCTCAGGCAGAGTAACGAGACTTGCAAGCAGCTCGCTATCATCATCTATGTGCAGTGGCGAGTGCTGAAGACTGCCTAATATGCGCCAGGCATATTCGATGTTGGGGTACCGAATGCCTTCGAATGCGCGCGGGGCCCAAAACCAGTTGAGTGCACAGATGATCAGCGAGTATGCAGCGAGAGCCGGTGATCCTATGGTGAGGAAGACGGATAAGGCGTTGTGATGTCTGAGTTGAGAGCCGAAAGGAAGCTGCGAGACCAGAGCGAGCCAAGGTAATAACCATGCACTGAAGTTCGTGCTGAAGATGGTCCAGTCGAACGGTTCTGGGCTTGATCCACACTTCTCTTCGCATAATAAGTAGGGTATCGCGGTAGCTAGCGACTGGTTGAGAGCAGGTCGTCCGTAGCTATCCAGAGCTCCACCATTGGGATAGAGTGTACCATTGGGGTACCTGGTGCCGTTGAAGATACCACTGCGAGTTTGATCGATGCAAAGAGTATAGTTGATAGCCTGGACGGTGCTCACGACGCAGAGAAGGATGAGATAGGCTGTGACAGAGCGGCGTCTCAGCATGTCGATTGAAGCGCCGGGGACAAAGATGGTTCGGATACATGGCGGAGTGGGGCGGCTTTATGACCTAACATATCCTCGTGAGTGAAGAACCGTCAGAACGGGAATGGATCATGGGCTTTCATACTTGAGTGATCACCAGCCTTGAGCGGTCCTAGACGCGATGCAAACACATGGGGTCATGATGCACATCGCCGCGCAACTCAGAAGGAACCCGAAGTCAATGGACGTCTATATGTAAGCGGTAGAACGGTGGGCGAATCGGTGCAGCTGTCTGACAAAGAGCAACACCGCTGCAGTGCCACAGCCAACTGACTGATCATCGTCATCCAACCGTAGATTTCGGATCGAGGCGGTAGGATTCACGGATACAGCGCGTGTATACAGTCGAGTACACTCATGTCGGCGGCCGGGATCGCGCACGCGGGAGTCAACGATGTGTTCAGACTCGGAGGACCCCAATAGGGACCCAAGAGATCGTGCCGCTGTTGATCAGCCCCTCAGTAGATGCACTGCTCCTATGTTCCAGCTCATGAGCTCCCTGAAGGGTGCGAGATTACAGTACACGTCAGAAGAAGATGGTGGTTGCGTGGAAGAAGCGGGTTCGGGCTGCAGCTTGAACGCCGCCACGCAAACGCTCCGGACCGGATTCGCCGAGATCACTCGATAGAGAAGTTCGTATCAAGTAGCGAGCTGGCAGTCTGGAAAGAGCTTGATATGTCCACCATGGGTTTTACGCATGCGCCCCGAGTACTTGTATCTACAGCCGGTGCTTGTAAATCGAGAGGCAAACCGTGGTACGGGCATACAGTACAAGAAAACGAAGGTTACCGCTACAGCGCCGCATATCAACAGTATGTACAATCACAACGAAAATGAGGACCTCTTCCTATGATGCGGGGAACGCGCAGATCCGGAATATCGCGACAGTGCGTCGGACAACATGCCCGAGGGCATAGCATCTGTATCGTATGCATCCGACTCATGCCCGCGTGATGGGAGCTTGACTTCAATGGTGGGCTGCCGGTCATAGAACAAGTCAGGACTGCCGCCGAAGGACTCCATGGCGTCCTCATGTTGTAAGAAGAAGGGGTCGGGGTCAGCCGGGTTGACGTGCATATAGACGAAAGCTGCGGTCCTGGTAAGACTCGTGGACTTAAGGAACCATAGACGGAGTTGCTTACCGATGAAGATAGCAGCGGATCCAAGAGACAGAGCAATAGCTGCATTGATATTAGCTACTTCAGCCGCTGCAGTAGAGGCATTGCTAGCTCACCAATACCCCAAGCGACGTTCAACTGCCCTAACGACTCGTCGTCCGGCTGTAGGGCGATAGTGGTGAAGGCATTCGCGCCCCGAGAGATGATGCTTGCATCGCACCAGCAATTGGTGAACAGGTTCGAGAACAAGAAGATGCAAGCGGCGACAATGAAAGTGGCGTTAAATGTGGCCAACAGTTTGGCGCTGTGTCGCATCATCGTTGACAAGGATCGAAGGGTCTGCGGGGAGAACCTGCGAGTCGGTGGAGCAGCGGCGTGTGGCGATTCGCGCATCTCCTTCTCCCGTTCCGCTTCCGACGCATAGTAGGTCAAGAGAGACGATATGACCATGATGATCCAGACAAGTGTTCCGAGAGATGCATAGATGAGGAAAGAGCCACTACGACATCCGAGACCGGTAGTTGGTGTATTGAACTATCGCAAGTGTAGTCAGCTTCTGCGTAGTTCTTTGCCATAAAAAGTACTCACGGAGTATACGATGGCGCTACCAATCGCTCCCCAATGGAGGACCATAGCGAGTACACCGGCCATGATGCAGCGACGTAGAACCGCTCGCCAATCGATCGGCCGCACACAACGCCGAATGAGGTCGTCGACCATCGGCACAGAGTGCCGCCGGGCGTCTTCGTCTGCAAATGCATCAAAATCATGAGCCGCTGCAACGCGAGCAGCGGCGCGGAACGCTCCGGCGACCAGCTCGACGTTCTCCGACCATGGAACAAGGCGCGAGTAGCTGTAGATGGGCGCACTTGCACCCTGATCTCCTTCGCACTCTTTCAGGCGGAAAGGGAACTTCTGGTTGATGCACTTCTTCGGAGACAACAGTGGTGCACTTCCTGGCTGACGGGGGTGGGAAAGCTGAGCCGGCTCTTTGAACGTCGAACGAGGCGAGGAGAAAAGCGACGACAAGCTCGACGCCATCGAACGGAGTGTTGGAGTTGCACCTGCCTGAGCCGCCGCGTATACCTCGGCGTTTGCGCGCTGCAGGACATCGCGAACGCGCACATAGTCGCAACGAGGCGAAAGACGCTGCCACCCTATGACTTTACGCCAGACACGGAGCATCAGCGCCCGCAAGTCACACGTTACGCCACACGCACCCAACGGTAGTAGCCAAAGGAACAAGGTACCCGTTCCCCTTCCACTGGTCTGGAAATCGTCGGCGATTCCGTCCTGAAACGAGCCGACTATCGTGAAGACTAAAAAGGTGAGTCAGCGGACCTCGTACACACTTATAGACGATAAAGTACCAAAGGCTACCACAACCCAGGCGATCTGTAAGACGATGGCGGTCGTCCACGTGTCCTCGTAATTCAGCCCTTCGTCCATGGCGTGCCACCACTGATCGTTCTCAGGTAAGGCGACGAGGCCAGCGAGCAAGCCATGAGTCTGATCGACGTGCAACGGGGAGTGTTGCAGGCTTCCGAGCACACGCCACGCATCCTTGACATTCGGATAGTTGATCCCCTCAAAAGCGCGCGGGACCCATGACCAATTCAACACGCAGAGGATAAGCGAGTAGGCTGCTAGCGCTGGTGACCCGAGCGTCAAGAAGACAGATACGACGTTCTGCTGTCTGTGCTGGGAGCCGAAGGGCAGCTGCGATATCAAGGCGAGCCACGGAAGTAGCCAGGTACTGAAGTTGGTACTGAAGGTAGTCCATTCGAACTTCGATGGGTATGGGCCGCACTCCTTGACACATACGCCGTATGGGATCGCTGCGGCGACAGATGCATTCGTAGGCCGCCCCTTGCTATCGAGCGTGCTATTGAGAGGCAATGAGAGTGCACCGCTTTGGACCCGCGCCAGGCAGGCCGTTAAGTTCGAATTCTTGGCCAGCGCTGGGCCGGCGCTCAAGACGAGAGAAAGAAGAGCAAGACGGAGCACGAGCATGGTGAAGGCGAACTCGTGGGGTGCAAAGGTGGAGGTCCCAACATTTTAAGCGCCGTGGGCTGCTCTGATATATATTGGCCCTGAGCGCCCAGTAAGAGGTAGCACTCATCCCTTATCGAACGTAACGTGGCACGCCGAGACACCCGCATAGGGTACAATGAGAGCGGATCCTCGTGGCCATGAGAAGTGCCTTAATAGTACGTCGTTCGTCAAGATAGGATAGAAGGTGGTCCATCATCATGGTGGCAGTGGCGTTGCGGCGCCCTCTGGGAAAGCCGCGCACCCACACAGGGTTGACAGGCGGGATGCCCTTCGCAAATCTTTGTTGGCATCTCCGGGATACGCAGACTGGAAGACCGCCGACAAGGGGTTGGGGGAGACGCAACGAGGCTGACTTGGAGGTAGTGGTCACAAAGAGCTCGACGTCGTGGCGGGACGAGCGACGGGCGACGCGCGCCGCACGCGTCGAGGCTTGTCTCCCGCCATCACCTCTGAATTGAATGTTCTCTGCACCTTCTAACCTTCAGTACTTCAGTCCCTCCACGGCAATCTCAAAGATGACAGGCGGTGATTGGGCTGTGACTGTCAACTAAATACTCATCGTCGTCAATCAACCATCCCTACAATCAACATGCGCCCTATAAACCATCTCCCGACCGCATCTATGGCGTCTTCGACGGACACTCGGATATGAAATCACTCCCAGACGACGTATCAAGTAGCGATGCGTCCTGGATGAGTACTATCGTCTGGTCTTGCTCATCTCCGTGACCATAATCCTCGTCGTTATTACCTTCGTTCTTCTGAGAAGCCGTGCTCGTTGCTGTCATATAGTCTACGTGTTGGGTACCGCTACGGCGTTGAGATCTCTTCACATATGACACCACTTCTTATTCCCATAATCTCCCTCTGCGAGAGGTTTGAATCCGGCAGCCTACTCCGGCAATGAGTAGTAGGAGACTCCGGAATTGACGTGATACTTACCCGGTCGATGTAACGGAGAAAGAGAATTGGGGTAAGGTATCCCTGTGCGGAATTATATCTCTCCATAGGTATCTCGATAACATACTTCTGTTTCACTTGGACTTGACCAACACTGTGTCTGACTCGTCATGTCACAAAGCAGTGCCCAAAAGAGCGCGTATCAGGGCATTGGCGGGTTGATAATCATGCAAAGAACTCTCTGCTCCATGACTACACTTCTCACTGCTGGGACTAAGATGCGGTCCTCACGCTCGATTGGGCATGTCGCTTGTCCAGCCTCGCCAGCGTCAAACCTCCAACATGATGGAAGAGCACGGAAAAGGCCGATCAAATTATCGGTGATAAGGCTTGGGGAGATTGCGTCATGTCCGCTGCCCGGGCCGGACGTTTCTTGACCGTCAACGGCCACCAGCCTCTTCACGAAGTTGGCATCTATCAGATTGTCCGACCAACACGCTTGTAGAGGATGTCGCATCTCTCATCTGGGATACAAAGTTTGCCGGATGAACTAGTCATTGCGATCCTTCTTCACCTGGATTGCCGCGGCGTGCTACGCTCTTCGCAAGTCAGTCGCGACAGTATAACCTCAGAGGCCCCGCACATATGCTGATCGAGCAAGCTTAGACTTGTCGAAGACTTCATGCCATAGTGGCCGCCTCGCAAGCATTGCAGTATATCGTCGAGCTTAGTCTTACCGGCGCGGTAGATGGTCAACCAGCTTGTCCGCTAAACATCGGCGAGCGTTTGCAGTTGCTTCGCGCACGAAAGCGAAGGCGCAGAGAGTTTCAGCCAGAGTTGGCTTTATCTTTTGGCATAGACTGTCCGACGAATGACTACGTTTACGACTACGTGGATGGGATATTCGCCATTCACTACTTCGTCGGAGATCCCGGAGCCGAGGTTTCGCACCTTGTCGCTTACGACCTGTCGTCGGCAACGGGGAGCGAAACACCGCTCTTTCATACGCAGCTGGACTTTCTCCTGCTGGACTTCTCCATCGACCCATCGCGCGATCTGATAGTTTGCGCTGAGCTCATACCAGATCACGACATAAGAGATAATGGACCCGATGTATACATCCATCTGCGCACTTTGAGCTCTGGCGGAATGAGTCCTCCTGTCGAAGCACGCAGAAGTAGGTTGGAGGTCACAGACGACACGCTGACGGATCCCGAAGACATATCCCTCCATCTGGCTAGTGATATGGCTGCGTACTTCTCCCAAAGTACACTATACATCTGGCGTTGGACGACAGGGTCACTCTTGGTCGTACGTCTTCACTTGCACGTTACTTCCCAACAATGTTCGCTAATAGGCCCTTATCCGATAATAGTGCTGGGAGGACCTTCTGTCGCATCATGACTGGCTGAACTCGTTCGCCTTCGTATCTCCCCACTCCTTCGTGATCACCCAGTCCGGCACGGAGCGTGGTTCCTTACGTCTGTATGCACTCCCGTCCGACGATACGGCACCCACGAGCGAGTCCCCGGAAGATAGGCAAAACACGCGTTTCTATCTGCCTGATCTCAAGTCCGCCCACCCTGCCATCTTATCTGTGGTCGCAGGACCGTTCAGCACGCCATGTTCCGCCGCCACAAACCCAGAGGACTCCATCCTGATGATCTTCCTCACGGATCTCAATCCTCGCGGTCGTGTCAGAGCGCAATTATGCTTCGTCGTTCGCACCAGCCTGTTTGAGCGCAATCTTCCTTCCGCTCAGCATATCAGCTCTATTACTACCCCGCCTCAACATATTCGGAGGCTCAAGTGGACCGACTGGGGACCCGAGAACTCGCGCCTTCTTCCGTACATCACTGACTCCATGCATGCCGCACGGTATGTTGTGCCAACTTCCAGCCTCAGGATCACGCGTGACCTAACACAATTCACAGCGGTGCCTACGGTTCAAGGATGTTCCTACCTCTTCATAGTGACGACAATCCAGAGGATGAAATGGTTCATACGTACTTCGACTTCGCCGATACACGCGACCACGTGTTCTTGGAAGCTCGTCAGACAGGAGCAATGCCGCTGGGTTCTCTTGCTAGGACTACCAAGATGCGCACGACCTTTAAACGAGAGATCTCTGGGAGTCACGGTCTGTTCAAGAAGCATACGGACACACTCTTGCCATATCACTCGACGGAGATGACATGGACAAAAGGAGAAGATGAGGTGCTCTTAGGTGACGAGCGGTTCGTGAGGAAGACATGGCTTTCAGTGCGTCGTGGACCTCTTTCGCTGCTGTGAACTCTGACTGATGTCAGCTAGCAGACCGGCAAATTGCAATTGGACGTCTACGACTTCTGATTTCACGCCTCCCCCCATCTGTCTGCATACACCCTGCGACGCGAGCATCAACAAACTATGAAACCTTGTACATTAGCTAATCAATCAACAACGTCATTGAGCACTGGTAGCCTAGTAGTTGTAGGAAGCGTAATCAGGCAAAAGCGACCTTGCGAGCGTGCCCTGGTTGCTCAACGCGAGTTGCGATTCTGGCGGGAGGCGGTGGCGTAACAGGTGAGGTTCGTATCTCTTCCAAGGAATAGGCATCTTCATGCGCATAAAGTGAGCCACTATCTGCGGCGAAGGGATCCGAGGTGTATCTTGGGGCATCCATGTCTGATGGCCGCGAGCGGGCGGATGGCTTAGCTTGGCGGAGGGGCGCCGTGAGCAATGTCGATGTCGATGAGCCGTTGCGAGTATGACGAGCCCGAGACGTTCCTTGACTGTGCTGTGGTGCGGCGGCGAAGGAAGCTTGCTCATCGGAGGGTCTGCGCGCCTGGCTGGCGACAGCTGCAGCTTCGATAAGAGCCGCATGCATAGGTGATGGCGGAGGAGGGGAACTTTGTCGCTCGTCGGGTTGCGAGAGTGGTTCGAACTTGAAAGCCGGTGGTCGGTTCCGACGAAGACGTATAAGGAAGAATACCGCAAGGCCGACAAGAACGACGAAGGCCGAGATGCCAATCCCGAGTCCTGCACCTAATGCACGGCCAAGGTCGGCTGTCTGCAGGGCTCTGGTAGAGATGTCAGGTAGTGAGCAGCGTAGGGGATAGAGAAACTTACTGTATCGGTACCCCAGTCACAACGAGAGAAGAAGAAGTCGAAGATGGAATGAATGTCGCCGATGCGATGCTGGTCGAGCTGACGGGAGGAGTTACGCTCGTTTCGGATGCGGTGCGAGGAAGAGTGACAAGTACAAGCGCAGTCGTACTGGATGTTGAGCTGAGTTTGGTGCCTCGTGAAGCTAGCGGCTAGGCGCGTACCTGTACGACGCTGATGGATGGCCTGGATACACGAGCAGTAGGGATGTAGAAGAAGGAGCGGGAGATGATGTCGGAGATGATCGCGTGAGGGAGGAAGGCGGAACGATGCTGGGTCGAGGCGTGTCATGCGTGGTAGAGATACTAGATATATCGGTAACAGTGGTCGAGCCTTCGCCAGTCAGCGCGGAGGATGACATCAAAGTGGGCCCAGTAGATGGTGAGGCAGAAGTTGAACTAGTGTGCGAGGTCGTACAGGTCGAGAGGCATGTCATTGTCGATGACGGGGAGGCCGATGACGAGCTGAACCTATGAGATGGTACGTACGACGGTGTCAACAAGGACTTGCTCGCTTTGGGGAAACATACGCACGGTGAACTGGTACTTTCAGACGGCACGAAGGTAGTCTTGCGCGTCATTGAACAAGGATCACTGGAACTCAAACTGGCATCTGCTCAGTGAACTGACAGTCTAATAATGGGATCGATGCGTACGTCGGGGGATCTGCGCATTCTAATCAGCTTACTTCAGGGAACAATGCATCGACTTCACGCACCCGTTGTGATTTGCCTTCTGTCGTTTGCCCTGCGCAAGACGTGCGCCCTGTCTGAAGCTGTGACAGCCATCGAGAAATAGTGCGGACTCCGTCGCTACGAAGTGAATAGGTGAGAAGCAAAAGCAATTAGCTGACACTCTCCAGGAGCGCAGGATGGGTAAAGTAGGGTCGAAGTAGACCTCAAGACAAGAACGAGGAGAACGAGAGCTTTGACGTCGAAAAGGTGAGACAGGCCTTGTTGCCCCGGCGAAAAGGTCAGCCTCGAATATGGATATGTTGGCAGGCGATTGTTGATGCAATGCTCCCGCCTCCGTCAAGGGCTATTGTGTTGCGTACGTTACAATAAACAAGCGTCCATCGGTTTGTCCCCGCGAATGACGGTCTGGGGAGTACTTCTCATCCCCGAGCGAGCAAATCCGTAACGTCTATCACTTCGCGGGCTCTCCATTTTCGAAAGTCATTCGGCATCGCCTTGCTCGACAGGCGGCCAGGTTGAACACAGCAGCGAGGAGATAGCTGGCCGGTGCGAGCCTGCAGATAGATATTGGTGACGGATGTTTCGCGTCCAACCAGTTAGGTTCCGGCTCAATTGACCGTGTCATGCCTGGGAGAGACCGATATGCACTGGGTGCACGGCGAACAACGTCGTTTGGAGGAAGGTTTTCAAGGTTTGTGGCCGCGCTCAAGGCGACAAAATGTATTGAATTGACTGAATATGAATGTACATCGAGGAAACGTGAGAGAGTAGATAATGAAATGGCCGCCATCATGTTTAGAGACCTGATGAATTTCAATCAGTATTCTAGTTTCCGAGGACATCGACACCGAGAAGAGAAAATTGACGCTCAGTTACCGTTGTAGAAAACAATCATGACACGACACGCGAACGCATGCGTTCAAACAGTGTGAATAGTATATGTCATCACCGCGAAGAGAAGGACAAGCCGTGTTCAGAGGACGGGACGCTCACCTTGACTGTAAATTTTGACTCGGTTCTACCAACGCCTCTTGCACTCGCTATGCTTGAGGTATGACGGCTACGGAACTTGACCAAGAGGGAGTCGAGCGGCAATGGCGGTTGAAGAGAGAGCTGAATTTTTTTTCACGGTTCTGCTCGGCGTGCTCCGGCAAGTGCCGAAAACGCGCACATGTGACTATTGCCACAACGCGTCTGTCTTTCCCGCGACCCGGACGGATCCCGGAAGAACGGCCGGCGCCTGGGCCGCATTGTATCCGTGACATGTATCACTTCACAAAATAGAGACCATGACAGTTGGACACATCCTGCAGGGCGCGCACGGTGCCGTATAAGAGGTATTGAGGTATATCAGATTAAACGTGAAATCATGCGGCAAGGTACAGTGCTAGTAATACAGACATGAAAGCATCTCGGACATAACAATCCATGGCATTCCAACGAAAAAGCAGGCAGCGCTTGAAGAACCAAAACCCAAAGCAACAACCCGCTTAAACCTTTTCGTCGAGGTTGTCGGAGCGCGAGGAAGAGGTCTCGCCGTGGGCAAGCTCCCGCTCGTTCTTCGCAATGTCGGCCTGGCGCGTCGCAGCGTCGGCGGCACCGAAGATGACGTCCATCTCCTCCAGCGACCTTCCCTTGGTCTCGGGCAGGATGTACGAGAAGACAAGCATGCCACCGATGTTGATCGACGCGAAGAGGAAGAACATCTTGTAGCCGAGGTTGAGCTGGATGGTGGGCGTAACCTTGGTAACAACGAAGTTCCAGAGCCACTGCGACGCGGAGGCAAGCGCGAGACCGTAGTGACGGGTGCGGGTCGGGAAGATGTCGGAGACGTACACCCAGGGGAGAGGACCCCAGCCTGCAGTACGGTCAATAATCGGGAGCAATATAGACTTCGAGCGCACGTACCCATAGAGTAGAAGCACACGTAGATGTACAGCATGGCGGCCATAGCCTTGGATGCGGTCGGCGGGTTGGCGGCGTTAGGGTCCGGCGGGAACGACTTGAGGAGGGCACCGATGATGAAGAACAGCGAACCCATGCCGAATGCGGACATCATGAGCGACGGGCGACGACCCAGAGTGTCCGACATCGAGAAGATGAAGATCGACGTTGCGACGACCTTGCAGATACCGTAGATACCGGATGCGAGGAGCGACTGAGACGTGCCTGTGTAACCGATCTGAAGTTCCAAAGTCAGTATTCTGTCCAGAACGATGCAGATCGCTTCGCGCACCGATGCAAAAATGGTGGGCGCGTAGTACGAGACTGAGTTCTGACCACACCATTGCTGGAGCGTGAAGATAACGAAGGCGATAAGGAAGCGGGGCCAGTTGCCCTTCCCGATGAAGGCCTCCTTCCAGCCGAGACCCTCGCGGGCACGGCGCTCCTCGTCGAGTGCAGCCTCGATCTCAGCAAACTCGCTGCGGATGTAGTCCGAGTCCACATCGAGGTCGCGGTAGTACGCAAGGTTGACGATAGCCTCCTCCATGCGGCCCTTAGACGCCAGCCAACGCGGCGATTCCTATTCGAGCGTCTGTCAGTGATCTTGTGATGATCGCGCGTACAATGAGCGCGACTAACCCTAACGAAGAGAAGACCTAGACACATCACACCGCACGGGACCAGCTGGAAGCCGAAGGGAACCCGCCACACGCGGGCATCATGGGCCATGTGCAGACTGACGCCGACTAGAGCGGGAAGTGTCAAACGATGTGCGGGAAGTGTTTGATGTGGAATGTACGCACAATTGATGAAGTACGACAGCATGACACCGATAGCCACCATGATCTGGAACAAGCCCGTAATACGGCCACGGTGCTCCTTGGGAGCGCACTCGGACACGTAGGCGGGAGCGACGGCGGAGATCGCACCGATACCGATACCAGAGATGATACGACCGGCATAGATGGTACCGAGACCGAGGGAAGGTGTGGCGGCGGTCTGGAGTGCGGCACCGACGGCGAAGAGCAGAGAGAAGGCGAGGAGCGTGTACTTGCGACCGATCCTAGCGGAGATGGGTGCAGAACCGAGGGCACCGAAGAAGGCGCCGGCTTGGAGAACAGCGACGACGTTGGACGAAAGATCCGCCTGACGCTGCTTGCTTCCCGAGAGACCGAACTCGGAAATGAAGAACTTCTGCGTGACGACTCCGCCACCAACACCGCTGTTGATATATATATATATATTAGCTATATGTAGAGTGGGAAAATGTGAGGTGGACGCACGTATCGTATCCGAAGAGAACGATGCCCCAGTACGCGACAAACGCGAGCCAGTATGCACGGCGGTACTGCCAGAATGCGTGGAGGACTGACATGGCGAACGCAACGACTCGAAGGTAATGAGGGTGCGGGGACAGACGCCTGGTTTGCCCACGAACAGAGTCAACGGACTTTATACCTGAGAGTGGCCAGGAACGGATGGTCAGGTACGCTGCAGCGTAAAGGGTCTAAACTCGGAATTCAATGTAAAAATTCTGGATCTTCATTGGTCGCAGTGCAGTCAGGCGGCGGGGACCGCGGCCCGGGGGCGGTCCGGTGTGGGGCTCCATCGCCAGGCGCGCGGGGAAAATAATGCGGGGAAGGTACGTTTGCAATATTGATGGATGCTTCCGTCGACGGTGTCAAAGCCTCCTCGTCTCATCCGCGCACCTGCAGGCCGTGTCGCTCTCCAGTTGTAGACGAGCAGCAGAGGTGAGAACATGTACCTTCGCGCTTTGGTCTCGCTGCCACGGCCATCAATGCAAAGAGTGCGTCATCAGAGCGCTGCCCTTCTCTGACTTCTTCGAAATCGGCCACCCACTCGGACGCCCCGGAGGCAATTGTAGAGTACGGATCACAACCATCGGGCAGGCGATGGATTCAGACCAGCCGGCGGCAAAGAAACGCAGCACCGAGGTTTCGCGACAACATCACAATTCCCTCCGCCGTGCGTGTCCCACTCATTGAGAAACCTGTAGCCTGAATTTCTGCGAAGGCTTCGTCAGCGAGAACCCATACGGGCGACGTTCAAAGGGCTCACAAAAGCTCCTGAAAGCTCACGACTTCTCCGTTGCTGATGGGATCCGCGGGTGGCAAACACGCGGCCAGAGGGGTCAGCGACGCGCAGTGCTCAGCTGACAGAGCCCATAACGCGCCACACAACAAGGTTACAGGCACTCGGCCCCTGTGCACTTCATTCAGATGAAGCTCGTATACAGGATTCGTTCCTACCTGTTAGCCGTTGTACGCCCGAAACGTACCAGCGACGCGATCTATCGGGCAGCGCGCAAGCTTGAGGCACAAGGGCCCGAGACGAGCGGCCTGTCTCTGCCAGTCAACAGCTGAGCAGCCCGAGGCGGGCTAGGCGGGCCGCGCGCACCGTATCAGCGATCCCTGAAGGTGAGACAACGCTGCCAGGCTGCAGCTATGTTTATCTGTGCAAAAGACCTTGACACAACACTGGCGAGTGACGGAAGAGCACGATGCTCGGTGGCGATCCACCTTCTTTTCGCGCCACTTCACCGTCGCCGATTCTGGACTTCCTGGCAGAGCCCGCATTCCACGCTCGCCGTACTGCGAAGCTCGGCGTGCGCAACCTTCTTGCGAGGACTATCCGCGCAGGACGCAGAGCGGACAGACGAATGGAGGCCTTCTTGATATCCTATTCATTGAGAGATGTTGCTTCATCGAACTCCCGAGCAAGCCGCAGTGAGTACGATAGCCGGAGTAAGTCTGTGCAGGCGGCTTACCGATTGTCTGCATCGAGAAGAACGCCACGAAGCTGCCGTCCACACGATCGCCGTGAGGGGAGTCCTGCTACGGACACGCTAGAAGTTTCCGTGGTATCTCACCGCATCCTGAGTTGACGTGATACTCAACGTCAATGAGGTGCAAAGACTAGGGGGAAGAGATCATCCGGGTACGAGTACATTGGCTTTCAGACAAGTAAAGTACAACAAAGGTTAGAAATAAGTCACTGAAAGAAGAGGGGCACGGGTGAGTTTGAGCGTCATCGTCAACCATGTTCGGGAAGTCCAGACCTAGCACTGAGTACATCCATTAAGCCTGAGGAGGGACGAACGCAGCAGGAGCAGTTGGTGCGGGTCCGATGTATGGCGCAGGCGGAATCTCGACGCTCAGATAATCATACGCCGCGATAGGTCTGCGCTGCCAGTGAAGATCCGGAGCATCGACGACGACGGGCGCCGTGCTATACCACGCATTGAAGGCCTGAAGTTCCATTTCCCTCAAGATAGCACCCCGAGCACGTTGCCCGGGTGTTCTGTCATTCTTCGGTGCGGGGAATCTTGACAGGCAGAACGTCAGCTCAAGAGGAGAACCGACAAGGCGAAGGGATGTACCTTGCCCCAATATGATTCATGACCAGCCGTTCAGCACCCCAGAGGCCAGCATAGTATCCCGCCTCCACGGGCGTCGAGTGCCCGCGTTCAGCAGTGACTCGCGCTACTGTTTCCGGAGTACGTTTCGCTGCCATCTGAGGATCGACATGCGCCGGAACATAGCAGTCCGTTGCCTCGTGTACGAGAAGACATAATCGGCCAGGAATGCTTTGGATAAGCGGGGTGAGTGCCGCAGGCGACGAGGTATCGCCGAGGATTATCAGCTTGCGCGGTATGCGCGCGTGCTCTGCATTAGGGAGAGGTACAGGCTCATTGAATACATATCCGAGGCAGGGTTCTGCATAGATGAGTCGATACACATGTTGGGAGATACGGATCTCGTACCTCGATGAACGATAGGGCCGGCATGCGCTATGATCGAATCCCGGCCGCTTCTACGGCCTACCGCGATGTCCCGCCAGAAACCTTGCTCATCGCACACGATGTCTGTTCCAGAAGCTTCACTTGAGTGGCGTACGTCTTCTGGTTCGCACGGTGTAGATACATCGCTCGGTGTTAGAAGTTCGTGCACTACATAAGAGTCGGCCGTGCGAGTGCTGGTGAGCTGTAGATTGAGACGGACGAAGTTGCGTAAGCCGGCCGGCCCATAGATGTTGATCTTAGGCTATATGCGCATGTATTCAGATATACGGATACAATGGCTCATGCAGCACAACTCACAGTGCGATTGCGGCCGGGATTAGCATTGCCTTCATGCGGGAACCCTAGAGTATTCCGTAAAAATGTTATCAAGCCCATGACATGGTCGGCTACATATATGATATGAAAAGAGTCCGAGAGTGCGATATAGTGTGTGTACTTGCCGTGCATATGGGTGATGAAGATGTTGTTCACCTTATTCGCTTTCAGATGCCTCGGTGCTTGTCCTCCACGCGACGGGGGCTGCCATTGCTGCGTAAACTGTCTGTACGTCCCCTCAGCGCAGTCAATCACTTGACATACGGTCAGCATTGGACACTTGATGAACTTTTGCAGCGCACTCCAGAGGCTTCCTTCTCCTACAATGTCGATGACTGTGGACGAGCAGTTGCGCGACTCCGATGGACCTCCACCACTTGATGTTCCGAAGAACGTCGCTGACATCCATTGAGACATGGCTGAGCGGTATCTATGTAATGGTATTCCAGCCCGTATGGGTCGCATGAAACATGGGTGTAGATTGAGGTGGTGGACGAGAACAAGTTAGGGTGGCGCGCACGCACGCGACGGCGCGATGCCCGACGTGCCCGCGACGCGGTCACGCGTTTCGTGGGATAACGCCCTCGAGCTCATCGATGTCGACTCAAGCGCGTTTTGTAGCTGGACATCATGAGATTTTTGTCGTGTCGAAGCTTTTGGACATACGGGCGCTTACAGTATGTACTCAGGAGAGGGCTGAGTGGGAGGTTGAAGTCCATCACAGAACGTTCTCACTCAATCTTCCGGAGATAACCATTTTTTCTTCGATTACACGCCTGACTTGCTTGTACGCGAAGATGACTGAGTTCTAACTCCTTCGTATCCAACTAGCACAGATACAGACATACATTTATAGCTAGGGCTGATGGTGTTGACGCTGTCAACGGGCTCAATTGAGTCGCAAACGGAGTTGCGAGCACGAAAATGAGAAGGAACTACAGGCCACTACTGTACGAACGTAGAGCTAGCGCGAGGAAGTTGACAACGCGCCAAATGGACGCCACCATCCGGACTCGTAGACAGCGATGGGTGAAGGTACACTCCGCGCACATCTCCCGAAGCTAGATGGGAGCACCCAGGCGCGGGGTACAACTCGCTCACGACTAGTTGGGCGCCTAGACCCAGGCGGGTAAAAACACCGACCAATCCAAGGATCTAACACCCTCCCCCCGTGGATCACCCTCTCCTCTTATAAGAATCCGCCATGCACAAGTCTCTCACCGCATGCGCGATCCACGCGCACGGAGACTGGTCTTATCCTCATAGTAGGGATCCCGCCAGCCTAGCAGCATATCAACTTGCGCCCTTTGCAACGAGACGCTTCATGCGCACACTCAGTGTCACTGGTCCACCGCCACGTCAAGGGATTCAACGTTGGCGGTCAGAGGGAAGAGAGGCGCCAGACACCCAACACCACAGCCCGACGCTTCAAATACCTGTGCTCAAATACTTCCCACGGGCATCGTGCATTCCTCGCAGAAGCAACAGCACACCATTTTCAAGCTCAGACACGCGCATGATCTAGATATTTTACGTCCGCGTACTGTACAAGGTAGGAAGATCATGCCAATCCACGCCGAAGAAGGCGTTCATCCCAATCGAGTCACTGTCAGTCTCCAGTGATGGCGCATCCCAACTCACGTCTCCGTGCCCGCCTCACTGCATCCGTCCATCTCGTCTTCGTCTTCTGCGTTCCGATGGGTGTTCCAGAGGACCTCAAAGAAGAAGCAACACATCATGACGCCGAGCATGCCTCCAGCATCGGTCGGCGTCATGGACTCCACATGAGGCGGGAACGGAATGCCATCTGGGACCCGCCACCATCGGCGCTGTGCCGCATTGACCATGGCCCTCCTGAGGCAGCTCTTGACCGCAAACGCCCTAGCATTCAAGGTCATATCTTCATGCAGCAGCCTAGTTGGTTCAGACGGCGGAATCGGCGTATGGCCGATCGTAGCGCTGAGCGGAATATGGACGATAGTCTCGTCCCGACGCAGTGGCTTCGCCTTTCCCTTCAATGGCGGCGGCTTACGAATCTTCGCGTCCTTGCGCTTCATAAGGCCCTGCTTAACCTTCTGCTGCTCGTCCAGGTAGTTGCGGTGCCAGAGATCATCCTCCTCAATCTTACGCCTTATGTCTTCCGCTTCGGCGATGCGGGCACGGACGCGCTTCGCAGTTTGCGGACGGGCACGGTTGGCGGCAACTGTGTATTCGTAGTCGTAGACTTTGATTCCGTTGCGCGCGAGTTCGTCAGCGCAGACGCGTTGTTCGTCGATGTTCATCATCAGGAGATAGGCGATGATCGGAAGCGCGAGGTTGTCGGTGAATGGAGATCTGAGTTCGAGTTGGAGCTGTTGAAGCGACTGAGTGATCGAGTCCACGGCGTTGCCGCTCTGGTGGGCGAAGGCTAGACGGTGGGAGCTATCTGTCGTGGATATGTGCGTTCCTGAGGTGAGAGAAGCTACAAAGCCCTTGGCGCCTTTCGCAGGGCTAGCATCTACTGAACGATGGTCAGTTCTGTAGTAAGAACGTTATAGGCTGATTGCTCACCCTTTCCTCTAGCGTTGCCACCTTTCAACTTCTCCTTCTTTTGAGGACTACGGCCCTTCGTCGCCTTGACAGGTTTATCACGAACTTCGGGTGTTACGGCAGGCGTCTTTCCAGGCGACGCCTGAACGACTGGTTTCTTGCACGAGCGAGGCAGGCTAGGACGAGGAGGCGAGCGCGCAGGTACAGCGACGGGCATGTTGTTGTGGTAGGTATGTATGCCAGAAGAGTAAGAGGTCCCTCTTATATACACAATCGAGTGTGGTTGGACGTCCTTTGTCCGAGTCAGGCAGCATAGCGACCACAAACTCGGAGTGTGGTTCGGCGATCAGAGCTTCCTGTGGCCGCATGAAGGGCGATGCGAGTATGGCGCCGAGCTGTAGATTGAGATATGTGCTTACATTAGCGTATATTACCACTCAATACAGCTATCAGCTCGCGCATGTCCCCTGGCTTATACGGTTCCCTAGTTCACGCTGGGACTACGCAGCCACACAAAGGCGTGAATGAGAACCCATTGCCGTAAACGCGCAGACGCTCATCGAGAGGAACAGCATTCAAACAGTGTCAGGCAGATACAGCTCAGCCGGAATATCTCGAGGACATAGGGTGTGGCGACATAACGGAGAATGGCATTCGCTCGTGCGCATGATGGCAAGAGGCAAGTCCGAGCACCCGACGCACGCCCGAGACGTCCTCATCCTCTCCACCCAGATAAGATTGGCATTTCCATTCACACCAATACCAGAACTTCCAATCCCAAATCCATTCACTTCAACACCTACAAGAAAAATAAATTACATCTCAAAAAGAAAAGCTAGCGCTACACGACGAGCCCGATGGTATCTTGACGTATATGAACAGAAAGGCCCAAGTCAGTCCGGTCAGATTTCGCTGCCTAGTCGCTTGTACAAAATTGTTAGAAGAAGAGAGAAAATGATATGCGTTACGAGTCAAGAGTCAATGATACACAGTCCAAGAGTCAAAATGATGATGCTGAGCGTTCCAATACGTCTCCCAAAAGAATTGCCATCCCCCGTGTATCGTATATACATCCGAGAGAGATCCAGCGGCTGCGGCTTGGAGTCGTGCCCGGCTAGAGCACGCTGACTAGACTCAAGCTCGAAGCCGTCCGCGGCAAACTCGAATGCTCGCCCGACACGCGGCGCGCGCCCTCGTTGCTCGTCCGCGTACGGCGAGTGCGGGTCGCAGCGGGCGACGGCGTCGTCGGGCGCGAATGTGCAGTCTGGGTCGCGGCGGCGGGCGTGGTCTGTGGCGTTGCAACAGGTGTCGCGTTTGATGGCTCCGCCACAGGCGTAGCGGCACGTGGCGCATCCTCGTCCGCAACGGGCGTACGCTCGCGAACAGGCGTCATCGCGCGTGCAGTGTTCGACGGCCCCGCAACAGCGTTTGATGGGCCTGCGACAGCGTTTGACGGACCTGCTACAGCGGTCGAAGGGCCCCCGTAGAAACTCTGCATGGTACCAGTACGCCCAAGCGCCCGCGGAGCGCGCGATGCGCGGACAAGAGCGCGGTTTGGAGCAGGCTGGGAGTGTGGCGGGCGCGCAGGCGAGGACTCCTGCGTTTGAGTCTCAGCGGGCTGGCTCGCAGGCTGAGGCGGGAACGTCGCGGCCGTGCCGACACGATTGAGTGGCTGAGTGCTCGGCCCCGCCTGCTGATTCTGACTGGGCGGCGGACCGATACGGCGTGCCGGCTGGCTCGCCTGAACCTCGTCCTTATCCCACTCCTCCGTCGGCGCCTCCATAAGCGCAAGATCGCGCTGCCGGCGCAAATTAACTTCCTCAACGCGGACCTTCCACTCCTCGTGGTATACGCCCTCCCAGGCGAAGTCGCGGACCTTGATACCCGCCCGGGCAAGCTGCTCGTTGATCTCGTCGAGCGGGCGCTCTTTCGCGGGCTGGAAGTGGTGCACGATCTCCGTCGGCGCGGGGGACGGGCTGCGCGCTTCGGCGTCGGGGGTGGGTGAGCGGCGGTCGAGCTCGGAGTAGGGTATGATGGGGTTGTGCAGCTGGGACAGGAGACCCAGCGTAGCGAGCGAGGGAGGACGCGAGGTTTCGCGCGGCGAGGCGGGCGGAGTGGCGTCGTGCGGCGTAGTCTCGCGATTCTCAGGTTCGGGCGAGGGCGAGGACGGCGAAAGCGGGCCCGGCCCGAGCAGTGTGGGTAGGATCAGCGGAGCAAGCTCGGGGGCACGCTCGCGGCGCTGTCCTATGCTTTGGGCGCGCCCACGGCCTGACTCGCGTGTAGGCTCGGCCGCGTGGGAGTTCCCGGCCAAAGCCTTGTTAGCGCTCGCTGTGGGGCGGCGCGGCGAGCGGCGAACGGCCTGTCCTTCCATGAGGCGCTGACGTTTGCGAGGCGGGGTACCGGGCAACGCGGCGTTGCTTGTCGATGCGAGTGGCGTAGAGTCCTCTTCTGCGAAAACAATAAAAAAGTAGTCAGCGCCCGAGTCTTATGGGAATGGAAACAATTGAAGCTAGAATGCTATGGCCAGGCGCCGAAACAACAACCGTGGCGTAGCTCGCCACCTCACGCGCGCTTGAACCCGGATACTTCGGAGTACGTTCATGCCGGGCGCTTATGCGTCGGATATGACTCGCGAGCGAATAATGGGCTGTAGGGCTGTCCCCCAAGGCGCAACGCCTACAACATGCGGCGGACTCGGTGAGAGGGTTGATGTGGACTTCTACAAGTCCCTCCCTCGTCCCCCAGGGTCGACGAGCAGGAAAACAAGATGGAAGGAACTGGAATTTACCTGGTGCAGCCCGCTTGGTCGCCCGAGTAGTCGTAGTCTTGGAAGCTTGCGCGGCCTTCGTAGTCTTGCGGCGTGTCGCCTTGGGCGCCACCGGCTCTTCATCGGCATCGTCAACCACAGCGTCGACCTTCTGTTTCCCTTTCCCCTTGCCCTTAGTCGGCTTCTTCTCCTTCTTCTCCGTTTCAGGTGCCTTCTCCTTCCCCTTCACATCTTTCGTCGTATCCTTCTTCGCAGTCCCCTTCTTCGCAGCCGCCTTCTTCGCTGTCGCAGCCTTCTTCGGCGGCGGCTTCGGCAGGTCTTCAGCGTCGCTGCCAGACTCGGCAGGCCGCTTCTTCGCGGCGCGAGAGGGTAGTATGCGAGTGGCCATGGGGGGCGGGGGAGTTCCGTCGCTGGTGGAGAGAGCGCGGGCCATGATGGTGGTGGTGGTTATAAGTCAAGTTGAGAGTGGTTGTGCTTCGGCGGTGAGACCTCGTGATGGAGTGGTTGGTTGATTGCAGTTCACACGCGTTACGTTCGCAGGCTAGTGATGGTGCGAGTGCAGACGGAATATCCGCGTCAAGGTGGTTTATATATTCTTCAACCACGAGCCTCGAGGCTGTCCGAGTCGCGTCAAGTGCGTTGGCCCGAAACGGTCAACAGCGGTCGATGAAGGGCTCCGGTCAAATCACGACACGATCGATGGGGTGTGTCAAGGGTCCGGATATCCCCTTAAGTATCTCTCAAGCAAGCTGGAGTAGAGATGAAAAAATCGCAAGCCAGTCACGAGCAGAAAGGGGGTGGCCGGGCGAGAGGCGGTTCGGGCGATGGTGGTGGGCAGAGTAGAGACGCGCGCTTAGCGTGTTGACGCGCCGCGCGGGAAGGTGCCTTTTTCGCGCGACCCGGTTGATCCGGCCCGGCGCTGACTCGCGCGCGATCCAGTCTTTCTCTTCCTCCTGTCATGCTCTGCCCAGCCTCTGCCTCCCGTGTCCTTCTTTCGATGTTGGAGGCCGATATCCTGATCGTAGGATGGACTCAAGTTAGAGAACGGGCTTGTTACCGCGATGACCGGCAAAAGATGGGATGGATGGGCCTCCCACGCGGATCTCTCCGTTCCGTCGATGCATTGTCCGCTTCATCGAGCAAGGCGGGGCCATCGAGCGCCAGCGGAACATGATGCATGCTGTACCGGGTTGCGCAGCGTGTTTCTACACGTTTCTCGGTCAGCGCGCATGCGCCGCGAGGCCTTCTGCGCCCGAATGACTGGCATAGACTCGCGCCGTGAGCGTGCAGACGTTGGGACGTCAGAGGCCGCGTATACCTGGCAGCTGGAGCGAACGCAGGCACAGCGGGATGCATGATTGTATGGATGGTTCCGGATACGCAGCTTGGGCGCGCTGGAATGCCTGCAGTTGGATCGCGCGCCCTTCGACGCCCGAGTTGGAAATGAGGCATCGTGCATCGATGCCTACTACGGATTGTGATGCTCCAGAGGCGTATCTCACACGTACAAATAATCTCTTCATGATTGTCAATCGTGCGTAGATGGATGGTGCAGATTTATGACTTCACTGAGAGCGCATCTCACAACCGCAACTCATCTCCGTTTCACCAAGCGTGTAAACGCTACACATCCGCGCGTAGGCTGATGTCTCGCAGCTCGCAATGGACTGCTTGCAATACCTCGCCGGCGCAACGTGTTCTTCCCGCCACGCGTCGGCGATGTAAATTGTATTCATTCCATTTGCGGTCTGCTGAGATGATGGCCGCGGCGTATGTGGCTCGATAGGCGGACTAAACTGTGGAGAACATGGCGTCGGTGGAACTCGATCAGTTAGACATCATTCCTACTTCGTTAGGATTAGTAGGATGGACGGCAGACACCGCCGCCGTCCACGGAGGACCCGGGCGAGCGGAAGACAGACGCCGAAGTAGAGGCGAGTCTGGGGAGGCCGCATAGGGACGTTGTCATATATAAACACGATCCAAATATTACACTCTGCTCATAGTGATTCCACTTCGTGTGAACCTAAGGATCTGCGAGTCTAAGTGGAACAAACACCTTACGCTCGTACGCATATACCACAGGATCAAATGAGCGAGCCGCCGCCCCGGTTATCTCCGACATGGACCTGCGCGCGCACGACCCCCGCCGCCGTCTAGCTCCCAACGTCCATCATCCCCACCTCCGTTCTGAGCGGACAACCACGAGAAGCTTGCGTGGCGTATCATCCGCGATGCTCTATACGGAAGAATACTTTCAATATGGTGGTCCTCTAGCCGACGTCCTCAAGCCGACCAATTGGCGCATAAGTTGAACAAGCTTCTGCCGTATACAACACAGACGGCGTAGTAGCACTCGGTGCTCCTACGCACTTCTTGGATATCCCTCTTAACAGAGGTCATGCCTGCTGTCTATACAAGGTCATCGTCGCCAACGCACGACCAGCCGCTGACTTCAACTGACTGAAATCGTCTCTCAAACGCGTGCTGTCGTATAGCAGTTGGCACTTGACACGCGTGATCATTCCAAGACTATCCCGTATGCGCTAAACTGACCGTCTACTCAACATCAGCTCCGCACAAAGCCGCACGTGCTGTGTCATGTCTGCACCGGTGGTGGTCATCGCGGGCGACTTGTATACAGCGAGCTGTCTGCTCCTGTCGTCTCGCTTGTCTCGCGGCTACGCTATGCTCAAACCGTGGGCGAGAGTGCGACGCTCGGTACCGGTGCTCTCACGGGCTGTCTCCGGAACGGCCAACTGCCTACTACTGGCAAATACCGTACTGAACCTCGTCGAAAGCTATATAAGCAGTATGTGTTTACAGTGGCTCGTCAGCTCTCGTAGCATCCACAACCCGCATCCACCTCTCTCTTCCTCTCCAACTTTTTCCATCACCATGGGTGCTAACGTTTCTGCTCTTGTCAACCCTGCGAAGAAGGGCCAGTACGTCGACGACGCCCGGGCTCGCGAGCAGCTCGAGGTGCTCCTCAAGCTCGCGGATGCGCGCCTCGACACGTATCAGGGCCAGCTCGAGATGATGTTTCTTGACAACGCCGGTCGGTCCCCACACGATTGCTACCTTCTTTCTCTTGGAGCTGACGAGTGAGGATAGGTGCGGCGAAGCGTTCGGTCCCCGGCAAACGCGCTCTGCGCTTTGCACGCTATGTCGGCGTGAACGTTGGTGTCGACCAAGAGAGCTACGAGCAGGAGAACGCCCCTTCTGAGTCTAACCCAGACGAGTCTGGTCTGCCGAAGGTGACGGAGAAGAAAGTATCAACGGTACGCGCATCCTCATCGGGGCAGGCTTTCACCTTATTTGACGTCTTTTTCAGAAGACCGCATTCACCGAGGTTGACGAGGTTGTGCGCACGTTCTTCAACATCACCCCTGAGGAATGGGCTCCGAGCACCGTTGTGCCCAGCAACAGGAACCTTCAGGAGTTACCCCAGACCAAGCGCGTCTCGGCTATGCGCGGCTTCGCTGTGAGTTCGGCGCCTGAGGGAATGTGTTCTGATCACTCATGGCGACCTGTGCAGAAAGTCGTCAGTAACGGACTAAAGGAGATCCTCATGGAGACCACTTCTACCGGAGAGAGCACTGACCAGAAGTTCTTCGTGTGCATCCATCAGTAAGACTTGACCTGTACCGAATACCGCGTGCGCTAGCTGACGCGCGGATAGCAACGCGGTCATCCGCATCGATGTCATGACTTACAGGTGGGCGCACTTGCACACTCTATTAGCGGAACCCGCGGTTCAGAACTTATCTTCCGTCACGCAGGTACAACTTCAATAAGGTTGTCAACAAGGAAACTGAGAAGGACGCCGGTAAAGCCTCGACGTTCCTCTCATTTAACGGCCAGATCTGCGAGAACATCTTCGGCTATGTGTACTGTAAGTCCTGTGACATACGTACAGAGTCGTTCCCCGCTGACTGAGTATTTCAATAGGTCTGTCGGTGGTTGACCACAGTCAGGTTACCGACGACGAACTCGTGTTTCTTGCGAGCGAGTTCGCTGGTGACGCGCTCAACGAGTTCGGGGTAAGCACTGCGATTCCCGGCCGACGCAGCGACATGCTGATCCTTGTGTGTACAGGCATACATTGACGAACTCATGGCGGTCTGGGCGAAGTTGCGCGCTGGCAACCCCATCATGCCGACTCTGACTCGTTGAATGATCAGTCGAGTTACTCGCGAGTTGCTCGCTTGCTCGTATCGCAGACACGGAATTGATATACTGGACTCATGCTGATGGATTGCTTCTTTAAAGTCTGATGAAATACATATGCCTCGTTGAAGTCGTTGGTAGTAGCCTAAACATGCTGGGCGAGCTGTCTTTGGATGTGACACGAACTCGAGCCGGGAAAGCTTGTCGCGTGATCAAAAGTCATACACGTCCAATCGTATCTTGTGTTCTCTCTGCAAGGAAGCGGTCAGAGAGCATTCTGATTATGGTGTATAGTCAAGTCTTACCACAAGGTTCGTCTTCTTTACGAATCGCTCGTCGCCGAGAAGAATCTCTTCATCGTCTCCATGTACCCAGTTCGTCTCAGTCGTGTAGTAAGGCAAAGCCGTAGATGTCGGCTCCTCGAATAGGCCGCGAGCTCCGAAAAGCTCCCTATTGGACCGAGTGCGCATCTCGGACAAACGCGCCGAAGGGCCCGAGGGGGCCATATCTTTTTGACGAGCATCCAAGAACGCGCGGTCGCGTGAGTCGGCGAAATCGAAGTAAGCATAAACCATGTCCTGATCACGATCGTCGTCTTTATGCACAGCCATCAGCACCCTGGAGCCGTGTGAGCCACTGACAAGTCTTGAGTATGTTGTATTGTTCGTCCTATGATATAGAAGGGCGTACCGTGCGGCGAACAGAGAGTCAGAGACGTAAGGAAGAAGACGGGAGTTTTCAGGCCCCCATTCACTCCACCTGTACTTCTGTACAGTCTGCCCTGAGGAAGCAGAAGTAAGCGACTGGTCACGTAGACACCTCTTCAATAATGTATTCAGGCTGATGACATATATCAGTTCTGTATCGATCTGACCATCCTCAACCCCCTCGTTGGTTGCTGTAACGAATAGCAAAAGCACAGAGCCAGAGGGTATGAATGTGGTTCTGGGTGTGCTGAACGGTCCCGTGTGCACAGACAAAATTGCGGCGTGAGTAGGAAGCTCAGGGAGGCACAATTGAGCGTGTTCTTCATCTTCAGGCGAGATGCTGGTAGGCATCGTGTCGTCCGAAGGCAACGCATACAGATGTAAAGCCCCGCATCCAATCCCTGACTCGGTGACCACAAAAGAGGTGGGGGAGACAAATGTGAATGTGTTGTACCACTCGTCAAGCGTCGAGAGTTCCCAGTGCTAAGTGGAACACGGAGCAATTAGTCGAGTGAAAGAAGCCCTCTAGTGCCTTGAACACGTACAATCAGAGTTGTGCCCGTCGTCCACCTCCATACATACAACGCACTCTGAGAAAAGTAGGCGACCATATCGCCAGCAACTGTGAGGAATATGTCGTCCGCATTCAAAAGTGCGAGGTCCGTAACTTCCAGAGTGCCCTTGCTAGCTTCTGGGCTCGATTCCCTCCCACCAGAGTCCAAAGAGAGTAGGTGGACGCGCACTTCGGGGCCTTGCGCGTCGGCGGCGTGATCTCGCACGACCTCTGCGCAAACTATCAAGTTGCGTGACGGATCGATGGAGAAGTCTACCAGAGCGAAATTCAACTGCGTGTGGAAGAGCAAGCGACCAGCACCGGTCGAAGAAAGGTCGTATGCCAAGAGGTGCGAGAGATCGCTGCCTGTGGCATCTTCAAAGTACTGGACTGCGAATATTCCATCCACAAAGTCGTAAACGTAGTCCTCGTCCGGACAGTATATGCTGAAGCTCAAAGCCGGCTCCGGTAGGAACTCTCTGCGCCTCCTCTTTCGTGCGCGAAGCAATTGGAGACGCTCGGCGGTGGACTGTGGACAATCCGGCGATCCGTCAAGGGTGCCGGTAAGGCTCAGCTCAACAATATACTGTAAGCCTTGTGAGCCGGTCACGATGGCATGAAATCTGCGGCATGTCTATGTACTACCAGTCAGTACATGTACACAACCTTACAGTCGTTACTGACTTGTGAACAACGGAGTACGCTCCGGCAATCTAGATAAAGCAGGATCTCTGCGAGCAGCTCATCCGGAAGATTCTGAACTTCAGCGTTCCGACTCGTCATTACCAGTAGCAGAGTGATTGTGACGAAGTTGATGGTCGTTTGTAACAGAACGAGTCCCACGACGCGACGGTGGCCAACTTGAACTCCGGCTTTCGGACCGGTGGACTCGCCGCTGCGGCAGCGCTCATCTCAACATCGTGACATACGGTCACCGACAGCTTTGTGATACACCAGGACATCTATACTACGCCTTACAGTACTGCAACCATCCCAGCCATCCGCATACCGCACAGAATGCGCGCTTGAACCAGGGTACACCGATCATACCGGCGCGCTGAAGAGCTGCAAACCAGCTGTCCTTCTTCACTGCACCACCCCAGAAGAAGCGCTGAGCCCATGCGGCGGCCGATCCTATGGGTACATCGCGTGAGACCCAGCACAATCCATGTCGGCCAAAACACATACCTTTCACTGGGCCCAACGGTCCGAACCCGATGGCGCGCAGCAGAGGGCGGAGGATCCACCACTCGGGAACGAGCAGGCCGCCAAGAACAGTGCCGGATACCAGCAAGACTTCCACGAGTGCCGGATGTTGCTCAACGAGGTCCCCTGCAAGCGATATGAATCAGCCTATGCACCGCGTGCTCAAACATAAGGCATACCCGTCACAGTGAAGAGCGTCTCTAAGGCGCCGCGTACTCCTGCCAAGTCTCTTCTCAACTCTTCGTCGGAGAGATTGATCAGAGAAGGCAGAACTTCGTAGATGCGGTCGAAAACGACGTCCATAGTCCTCTGTACATGCTCCCGACGAGCATCGTGCCCACCGGCGGTCTCTGGCGGCGGGAACTCCTCTTTGAGCATGAGCAGACCATCCGCGATAACCTCCTCGAGAAGGACCTCTGCGGAACTCGGGTCGTTGATGAGACGTTGACCAATGTTCTGCACGGCTTTGCCAACATTCTGCGCTTGGACTTCAAAGTCGGATATCTTGTCCGCTACGTCTTGAAAGTCGCGCACAAATCTGGAATACTAGTGAGATGACCGTCGTTTCAGCGGTTACGATTGGCGGGCGTACTTCCTACTTGGGAAGAGAAAGTCCCAGCTACGGCGGCGTTTGCCGCAGTCGTGAACAGGACCGCCGTCCCGATTGCCTTGGAGAGAGTGAGTCGCATTCTGAGCAAAGACTCGATGAGCGGCGGGAAGATGGAGTGTGGTCCTGAGCGAGATGGGGGATAAGCACAGACTACGACGCAAGTGTGGCGGGTATCTGCCTCTTGAAGCGCCTACGCCCTACATCACGTGCCGAGTCCTCGCTGCTGCGGCATTGACAAGTGGCGACAGCCAGCCGCTGTCGACAAGCCAGGAAAGAACGCCCTTGTCTGGGTTGCCCTCGTATACAAACGTCCAAGACGGGTCATTCAACGCGGTTCCGTCGGCAACTGGCGACCGTGAAAGCTGCACGGTTAACGTTCACCCGGGTGCTCAGGGCCTATAATAGCATGATATGTGGCGTGGCACTGGTATAGCGCGTGTACTGGAAGTAACAAGCCACCGAGCGTTCGAATAGTCAAAATTAGACATGCGGCTGCCAAGATCGTCCAAGAGCATGGATGAACCGCAGTTTTGATGCCACCGTTGCTCGTTCCGCGAGACAGCGGTACAGTTGTTCAATGCGAGTTTATACATAGCAAACGTCATCGCTGAAAGAAAGCAGTACTGCCAGATAAACTATCCACGATCCCGCGGAACGGTCAAGATGATGACGTCCTGGGACAAAAGCGGACCTCGAGCCGCACGCGCAGCATGAGCTCTGCAGAAGCGCAGTCTCGCACGCCGCTACACTTGCTCTCGACGGTCACCGTCGCTCACTATGGTCCTCACCAATCACACCTGTCCCAACGATAACAAAGAAACTACCGACCAATCCTCGTTCTGGGACGCAGATGGCATTAACTGGGATCCACATCGAATAGGATGGGCCATTGCAGGCGGCTGCGCGGCTTTGGTGCGTGCTACTCGCCTTGTTCTTGACTTCACACATCCTCATCTGGCGATTACAGACTGTTCTCATCACCGCATTTACTGTCTTCATGCACGCGCGGTATGTCGTTCTGGATGTTCACGCTATAACCCACTGATCGTTGCGTAGACACTATACAAATCGCTTGCAGCAAAGACAAATGTGCGTTACCCTCACCACATGTGATGGCTGTACATGCTTTTGCGCACACGGTTGCACCGCCTGCATATCCGATTAGGCGCTTGTACACTCTGGCGCTTTGCATACATAGCCACACCATTTCCCCATCGAGAGCTTTCTGGCCACAGTCTGGCGCTTCCCAGACCTTGTGCTGACCACCTGACCGTCCCCCAGAATACGCGTTTTATATATGCCTGCTGTCTACGCCGTCATATCCTTCTTCTCCTACCGATACTTTCGAGATTACACATACTATTCGCTGGCCGAGACAAGTGCGTACTCCAGAATCTTGGATCTAGTGCCTCATCTAACAACCTGTAGCATATGAGGTTTGTTCGCTGCCCCCTTGCAATTGACTGCTTGACGCTCACATCTCGATCAGGCCGTCACCCTCAGTGCTTTCCTGTGAGTCCACTGTGATCTATCGTCAATGCACATGCCTAACACCTCTCAGTTTGCTCCTCATAGACTTTGTAGCATCTACTGCGTCCTCACATAAAGCGGAGAATGCTATCCTCCGTAAGGACAAGACCGCGCTCCCTATACCCGTACGTGCCGTTTGTTCCTCGAACGCCTCATCGCTGATCGCTGTCTAGTTCTGTTGCTGGCGCTTCAGGCCAACAAAGGCCTATTTCATGTATACTTTGAAGGTCAGAAATCGTGCGGTGAATGGACGAAGACTCGATTGCTGATTCTCGCATAGTGGTCTGTATTACAATACGTGATAATCCGTCCAGGTACGCCGCTGCGCTGCATGGGAGGCGTTTGACGCTGAAGCGTGGCAACCCACCAGCTATCTCCATCGCCGGTGTTATCACTCAGGCATATGGTGTTTTGTGTGAATCTGGGAGCTATAGCGTCTTCTTCGCTGCAGTATACTTGGACTCCATCGACTTCGTCAGCATCAGGTATGTACACGAAGTACTTGGTAATGGCCCATGCACTGACGCGCTTTAGTATCGCACTCTATGGTCTTATCATCTTCTACGCCCTGACGAAAGAAGAGCTTGCCGGTCGCCAACCGCTAGCGAAGTTCCTGGCTATCAAATTGATCGTGTTCTTCACTTTCTACCAATCATTCGTGGTTCGTGTCGGCTTCGCTCTGTCATCAAGTACCCGTCTAAAGGCTTATAGTTTGATGTATTGCAATCGTATGGTGTTATCACGGGCACAGAATATTGGACCTCAACAAATGTTGCCGACGGCCTTAATGCCCTTGCCACGTGCATAGAGGTGCGTCTCATGCTCTTTGCCGCACCAGGCAGAGCTTTCGCTGACCTATATCGCGCAGATGGTGTTCTTCTCGGCGTTCATGATGTGGGCGTACCATTGGAGGGAATACACCGACCCGCTTGCACCACGGCATGGCTTCTTCCGTGCGCTCTGGGACAGTGTCAACTACGGTACGCTGCTCGCTCTGAACCGGTGACATTCGTTCATATAGCTCCCAGTCGATTTCGCGCGGGAGATCTGGGGCTCGCTCAAGTTCTTCGTCGACTATTGGCGCGGGAAGAAGTACACGCACGGCGTGCCTTCTGCAGCGCTGGACGACCTTGACCAGGGCGCGCACGGCCAGACAACGTTCGGCCAGGCGTTCGGCGTCGAGGGATACTCGAGAAAAGTGAGCAAGCGCTCAGATTATCCGCCGCGCACCAGCTATGACGAGACCATCCGCTTGCAGCCCTACAGTCCTAGTCAGTAGTAATGATGTCTTGAGTTTTGGTGCATATAGGATCCGAGGCTTCCGGTATTGGGTCGTTGAGGAATAAGAGCGCTCAGAGGTCATGGACACATATATAGTGATAATCTTGACTACCTGCACTGCAAATCTACGTTCGCTGCTTGATATTGATATTCATCGTGTACCTAATGCTCTGTCTGTGGCTGTGATGACGCATAAATACTGTAAGTCCCGCTTAGCTCAGTTGGTAGAGCGCGTCACTAGTATTAGTAATGACGAGGTCAGTCGTTCAAGTCGGCTAGTGGGAATTATGTCCATACCCAGTTCATTTTTTTGCACTAGAATTCAGTCCGTATCACAGGCGCTATTGCAGTTGCCAAACACCTTCCGGCTTAGAGCGCCGTCCTTTATTACCGCCCCGCGGTGGTCAAGTTTGCAAGGACACAGAAGGGGCACGGGAGCCACATACGTAGTAGGAGTCAGTGCCTATTATGTGCTATGAGACCAAATAAGTACAACGATTATATGCCAATACGCTCTCCCTGGTATCTCTGCTACTCTGCCTCCTCTTCACCCATCATCCGTCCGAGCGCATCGTTGCCCTCGTCGACCGGAGCCTCGTACACCTCGAACGCGCCAGCCTCCTCTGTTCCCTCGCGCACAGTCCGAGCTTTGCGCGGGCCCTTCTTCAGATCCGTTTCGCGCCAGCCGGCACCTCTACGAGAGAAGACATCTGGGCTACGGTCGAGGAGCGCGTACAGCGCTGAGTCGCTGAGCACGCCCTTGCGCCCGGCCTGTGTACCCGGCACGACTTCGATCTTCTCGCCCTCGAGCTCGAGAAGAGAGCCGGCTAGCTCAGCCATTGATTCGCGCTTGCCGTCTGATTTGAGAGGCATCTTGAACTTGCCTAAACGTTCGGCGTTAGCAGAGGTACTGATGAGGAGGTCGTACAAGCTTACCTTTCGCGATGACGAGCGCTTCAAGTTGCCGCTTCTGGCCTGCACGCTGCATGATCTTCGACTCGATCGTATGCTTCGTCACCAGTCGGAAGACAAGAACGGGTTTCGTCTGACCGATACGGTGAGCGCGATCCTGAGCCTGCAAGTCCATTTGCGGGTTCTGGGGAGTATGTGAGTTGATGGCCACGAAAGATGGTGAGAGTACGCACCCAGTCCTGGTCGTAGAAGACGACGGTGTCTGCGGCTGTGAGATTGATACCGAGACCGCCGGAACGTGTGCTGAGGAGGAAGAGGCGTGGCGCATCTGGATCGTCGCCCCCTGTTTGGAAGCGCTCCATCTCCTTGCGCCTGTCGAGTGCGGAGGTTGAACCGTCGATACGGCAGATTGGCCATTGCTTGAACTCGGTAGCCCAGTCCTAGCGCAACGTCAGCGACGAAGTTCATGCAACAAGAAGACTACGAGACAAACCTCGATGACGTCTAACATGGTCTTAAACTGGCTAAAGACGAGAACCTTATGCTTCCGCGCAAAGAGCTCGTCGAGAAGTCGCTCCAAGACCATCATCTTGCCGCTTGCGTTGACGAGCTCGTCGTTCAAAACGGGTTGCATCGTCTTCGTGTCGACGGGCCAGTCGAAGAGGAAGGGATGACTGCAGACTTTACGCAGCTGCATAACTGCGTTCTGGAGATGTAGGTTGTTGATCTTCTTGACTAAGGATATCGTCAGCGCGAGCGTATCTATACAGTCCGGAGCACTCACGCTTCGCCTTGTGCGCGTGTTCGGCGCCCAACTGCTCAAGCGTCTTATGTGCATGCTCCTGCTCCGCCCATTGCTCTTGGACGCTCTTGATCTCGCCACGCTCCAGCTTCTCGAAGTACTCCCGGTCGCTTCCATCGACGTTATAGTCGACCAAAGTCCTTCTCTTCGATCTTGCCTTGCGTGGGGTCTTCTCCTCTGATGCCGGCGCCTCGGCCTCTGCCGCGGGACGTTTGCCAGTAAGATACCCCCGGATGCTGCCCTTGACGATCGCGTCGTAGAGCTCGCGCTGCTGCTGACTCAGCGGGGCGTAGAGCACATATTCCTTTTTGGGAGGCAAGGAGCTCATTACGTCGACCTTGAGGCGTCGAAGTAGGAACGGTTTGAGGATGGAATGAAGGGTGTGAATGAGGTGGGAGCTGCTCTCGCTCGAGAGTGACTCTTTCAGCGTCGGAAGATTGAACCTGGGTTCAAATCAGTAACGAATATAGCCCGTAGCATCCGGATCAATGACGAACCAGTCTTGGAACGCGCTAATGTCATCGAAGATGTCAGGAAGAATGAAGTTGAGCAGCGACCATAGCTCAGAGAGGTTATTCTAGAACGCCGTCAGTACACGGCGGCTACTCCTCACGATAGAGCTTCAACACACCTGAAGCGGCGTCCCGGTCAAGATCAAGCGTGAGGCACTCTCGTACTTCTTGATCTCGCGCATGAGCATGGAGTCCATGTTCTTCAGCCGATGACCTTCGTCTACGACAACATAGCCCCACTTATGCCTGGACAGAAACGCTCTATCCTTGATTACCATCTCGTACGTGGTAAGAACAACAGGGAACGTTGATATCTGGCCCGTCTTATCGGGACCATCCTCAGACTCGTAATTCATACCGGCGGGAACTTCGAGCAAGTCCTCCTGCATGGCTTTACGCTCCGGCGGAGTGCCGTGGTATACGCATGTTGGTATCTGGACAGAGGTCAGGTACGGACATCTAAGGCTGTATAAGCTGAAGTTACCTTAGGCGCGAACTTCTCGAACTCCACCTGCCAGTTGTGTAGGACGCTCAACGGGCAGACAATGAGGAACGGAGCAGCAGCCTTGCATCGCAGGTAGGACACGAACGCGATCGTCTGGATAGTCTATATACAGCGTCAGTCGGGGAGTCTATTGCGCGAGTAGTTGATCGTACCTTTCCGAGGCCCATCTCGTCGGCTATAAGGTAGCTTGACTTCAGCTCTGGACGCACAAGGACAATGAGAGCAAGACCCACCGAGGATACCGGATACGCCAGCCTCATAGAGACCAATCATCCACTGAACGCCTTCGAGCTGATAGTCCTTCAGGGTTGCGCCACTCAACAGTCCAGGCTGTTTGAACGCTGCAGAGTCATCGCTCTTAGCGCGCTTGGCCTCTCGTGCGGTCTCAGCCGCGTCGTCTTCATCCTCGTCTTCTACGCGAGCCCGCTTGGTTCCTGCGCGTGCTTTCCCCTTGCGCCCAGTAGACTTGCGCCCGCGCGGCTTTGGCGGTGGTTTAGGAGGCTCTTCTGACTGAAGAACGGTCTTTGACGCGTTGATTGTCTCGCCGAGCACCTTCGAATATAGTTCCGATTTTTCAAGCAAGAAGTGTAACCGCCGTAGTCGTTCTTTCTCGTCCTGTCAAAACATTCAGAGAAGTCGCCGTAGTGAGGTCAGGGTACATACTATTTGATCTATGGGCGCCTGTACGCATAGAACCATCAATTATACAGGCCTCTGCTAGCTCCTTTAGTACGCACCACAGACTTTGACTCTTCCTCGTCGTCGGAGTCCACATCACTCTCCACAGCTAGGGGAGAAGATGGCACGGTGCTAGAGAGCGGCGGCGGAGACTCGCGTGAAGGTGAAGTAGAACTACTGGAAGACATAGTGGTGTGTGGTCAAGTGCAAGTTCAACGCGTTCGAGTTTGTCGTGGTTCGCGAGCGCGTAACAATCAAACGCGGTCACGTGTATTGCGTGATGCGCCACGATCGCGTCCGGCATCGAGGACAATGCAAGTTTGGGAGGATAATTGAAAGCAATCCGTTCATCTGAGACCAAAGGAGATGTATAATAAGCAATAGTGATACAGGGTATGTGATGTTCTACAAGGTACAATGAGGGCTGCGAGATATTCGAGTCAGAAGGCCGAACCGAGTCCAGATCGCAGGCAGATATGTTGGAACACAGTATGTTGGAACACAGGACTCGAGTATCGTACGGTATATGCGTATTAGTATGACGTTTACAAGTATGGTGTAAGTTGAAACGTTTGGGATCTGTAGTGAAGCTGGTGAAGAGTCATTTGCTTGACACTGGGCCGGGTGGATCCACGTAGAGGGCGACAAATACTACGAAGATGGTCAGTATAGCAACAAGTTCTACCGAAGACCAATACCCACAAACAAATAAAGTAGCAGTTCCAAGCGAGAGAGAGACAGCTGTCGCGCCCGAAGTCAATGAGATGTAACTACTAAGCGCAAATATCAGTACTCACAGCCTATCCAGGCAGACTTCATCGCATGCACGTCGCTGGACGTGAAGTTGATCACATCGTAGGCACCCTTTCCAAGTCCAATCACGCTCGAGTTGCAGTAGCATCGGTCGAAGAAGCTAGCGAATTGGAAGATGCACACCACGACGATCCATGTCGTGTTGAGCATGGCGAGGATCTTGCCTATCCTGCGGAGTCCGGTTGAGAGCATGCCCGCGATGCGTGGGGACGATAGCGTGCGCAGAGGTCCAGATGGAGAGCTCGACGTCGCAGCATGATAAGATAGGAATGAGGATAGGACCATGAGTAGCCAGATGACGGTTCCGGTCACGGCGTACAAGATGTACGCTCCGCTGCGGCAGCCTAGTCCCGTCGTCGGTGTATACATCTGAGAGATACTGTGAGAGACACATTGCATCTTCGAGGGAAGAACCCACCACTACGACGATACCACCTCCTATGGTTCCCCACTGAAGGAAGAGAGCGAGGAACGAGGCTATGAGGAAGCGCCGGATCACGCCAGTGGCAATCAAGCCCCTCGGGCGTTTCGGGTGCTTGGTCCGTCGAGTGTAGCGCCGAACCTCCTCGTCGGTCCCTCGGCGGTTGAGATCGCTTATGTGACCCTTCAACGACGGGTCCTCCACCCACAACGCAGATGCGCTGATGGGAACGTGGTTGGCAGCATTGCTCGCCGCGACCTCAAAGGCCCCCGCGACGACTTCGACATCAGCCGTCCAGTGGAGAAAGCGGGCGTAGTTGAATACAGGCGCGCACGCCTGCTCGTCGCGATGGGCCTCTCCAACATCGCGCACCTCGATGAAGAGGCCACGACGCCCAGACAGTACACGCGCGGGTGCTTGAGAGTTGTATGGGCTAGCGCGATACGCCTTGCTTGTATTGGCGCGGTCGACTGCGTCTCGGACACGTTCAAAGTCACACTTTGGTGAGAGTTGAAGGTATCCGATGACTACCAAGAAGTTAGTGGAGAACAAGCAAAGCACAAACCAGACCGCACCAATCGGCAGTAACCACAGAAAGACTGCGCCCACACCCTGTCCGCTCGAGTTGACGCTATTGGTAGGATCCGCGAGAGAGTCGATCACGGTGAACACTACAAGATGTTGAATGAAGATTATTTTCACGCCGATGACAATGAGGACGTACGGTAGGCGACGAGAACCCATATGATCTGGGATACGGCTGAGAGTGACCAAGTCTGTGTGTAGTCGAGACCGTGCGCAAGCTCCTCCCACCATTCATCGTTCTCCGAAAGAACAATAAGGCTAGACAGATGCCCCTCGGAATCATCAATTCGGAGGGCGGACTGTTGCAAGCTGGCAAGCACGCGCCACGCCTTACGAACGTTCGGGTACTTGATGCCCGACAGCCGGCGTGCGACCCATTGACCGTTGAGAACGGTGAAGATAAGGGAGTATGCACCGAGAGCTGGCGACCCAACCGTGAGTAACATGGACATGAGGTTGTCGGACTTGTAACGCGAGCCGAAGGGCAGCTGAGAGATGAGGGCAAGCCATGGGAGCAGCCAGGCGCTGAACTGCGAGCTGAATATGCTCCACTGGAACGGCTCCGGGTTCGCGCCGCAAGCAGACTTGCACAGCTCGTATGTGATGGCGGTCGCATTAGCCGGAGCCGTGACGCTATGTCCGGCGTTGTCCAACAAGCCTGCAATAGAGCTCCCAGCCTGCAAGTTCAACATACATTCGGTGAAGTTGGTTGCTGCCACATGCTGAGCGAAGAGCATGACGCAGACGAGGACATAGCGAGGGCGAGCGAAGAGCATATAGGCGAAGGCTACTGGCCCAGCGAGGAGGTGTCACAGCATTCGTGGAAGGTGTAAACCCAAGATATCGACCTCTTGACTTTATACCCTCTCTGCGCGCAGCGTGCCTCAAGCAGGGTTCTTGATGCACGTTGTGCAGGAGCACATACGAATCCCTTCTTGAGCTCCGAGCATCGCCCTGCGACAGAGTCAGCACCAAGGCTACCGACTTGGATGTGGGATTGAATGAATGCCGGACCACGTTTTCTTGGTGGCTGTGCTTCTAGCACTTCGATTGACACGCCGCCAGCACCGGCGCGCTGGAAGAACAAGGACATCAATAACGTCGCAGGTATGACGAGTCAGAGATAAGCTTCATTCCAGCGCATATCAGTTGTAACTTGCAACCATATGTCGACTTCATTGACGTGCGAGAGGTGGCTAAGCGATTCGACGGTCGATGTCTCTTGAGCGTACAAGTTGTGCTCAAGCCTAATTATGACGGGTCGTGCGCGCACAAGCAGACGCATTCCATTGACAGGGAGCGCTATACACGAGCTTGGCAAGATCCCTGAATTCATGGCCAGAAAGAGGATTCGTACATGCGCTGAGGCCGACTGCATCATGACATTGCTTATCGGTCCCACCTCATCCCCGCGCACGTGAATATGTCAAAGTACAAACAGCCAAGCCGGCGCCTGTCGGTGTGCAGGGTCGTAAACGCGCACTGCCAGTGGTGGCCTGAACAGAGGCACGGTCTGTACCCTGCGCGCGCCTTCGTCTGGGGAGACTGACATAGATCCGAACTTCAAGCGGGCACCCAACAGCACCACCTTATCACGGCTTTTCGAGACGGCCGACGTTACAGCAAGCCTCAGTGCCCAAGGGTCGCTATCTGAGAGTGTGACAGAAGCTGCACAGCATTGACGACGCCTGGTATAGAGCATATACTAGTTGTGGCGGAAAGGTAGCGCAGCCTTCCCAGTTGGAAGAGAGTTCAGCCCAATAGAAGCATGGTTTCAGCTTCGAGTCATGAGCGTATCCGGCGCGAAGGGACTGAGAACGGTACACGACATATGTCAGCGGGTTTGGATAGCTTGAACGGGGTATGGGATCCACCTGAGTCTGGAGTTTGCGTAGTTCTTGGATAAATGTAGACTAGTTCGCCGGGGTGGTGTATTCGCCAAATCGACTGGTACCAAGTATAACACCTATTGGCGGTATGCGAACGCGCAGAGATCTGTCATACCAGACCGCGGATGTCAGTCACAATCGGCTCGCAAGCTCTTAGAACGAATGTAGCATACGTTTAATGGCGTCTGCTGGTGGAGCCAGCTTCGACACGTTTGCCAAACGTTTGCGCTTGCTTGGCGTCGCTGATGTCACTGTAGCCCAGGGTAGGCAGACTGGCTTGCTTTCGCAAGCGTCTTCATCCACCGGCCAGGCGACGACGAGAACAGCAGAAAGAGCGACCGTGTACGCAACGCTGACAAGCAGAAAGATATGCGAGCCTGAGACGCCCCATGAGCTCCCCGCGCTCGCGATCCAGGAAGACGGCGAAAGACAAAGATCGTAGCACTGTCCAGAGTGATGATAGAAAGCGCCAATAAGCTCGGGTTCGCCGGCGAAGAGGAGCATGCACGTAGAGACAAGTCTCCAGGGCGAAGCGGGGCTACACATCCCAGATGTTGTAACGAGCACGGCCAGCCGGTGCGAAGCTAGACGAACGTCAGTGAAGCCCGCATGTTAAAGAATTACGAATACATACCTATTGACTCCTGACCTAATCTAGGATGGCGCTCTCGGGGTTGCCGTACTCGGATGCTCGAGGATCTGCTGTCGATAATTGTCCTGAAGACTTAAGCTTCAAGACCCAGCTTTTGAAGCGTAGCCCAGTCCAAGACATTTAATCAGCCCGTCACTTTGAAGAGGGGACGAGTAGCGGCTCATACTCGAGCCACATCTTGCGGTCTTCAAGCAGCGGATGTTTGGATACTAGCGCGGGGGCATACATCCCGCAAGGCGATCTGAGGGAGGCAAAGATGGGCGCACCCAGCGGCAGGAGGCTTTTGTAAGACATCGTGCGATGGCGGGCGTTCACACTTTCGCAGTCAACCAGCCGTCTTGTTTTGCCAACAGGCGATGTATAGAGGAGATCATCGTGGTCTACGGCAAGACGCGACGGTATCAATTCGCCGGAGACGCCCGTTCCCTCGCCACGGGCCCTACGCTCGACGACGCGGCATCCGCGAGTCTGGCTTACCCCGCGTCCACCACCTTGCAATTTATCTCTCATATACTTTTGAGCACCTTGTTGCCCGACAAAAGCTGCAACAGTACCGTATCTGCGTAAAGACCACGTCCCGATACGCTCGCAGGCCGCCTTCCAGCCATAAATCGACTGCCCTCGACGTGCGGGTCTCCGCCTGCGCAGCGACTTTTGGAGATGGCGATCAGAGATAGAGCGCTCTGTATCTTGTATACGACGCTCAAGCCGATCTTCCAGCTCTGATTACCACCGAGTCTGTTCCCGCGATAAGCGCCCGGCACACGACCTTGCTATCGAGGTTCTCTTTCGGGTTTTCGGCCTTGCCCCGCCAAGATTTCTGCCTCTCACTGCCAGTCCACAACCTGTTCGCTTCTCGGTGTACAGCGCTCGTCGTACGTTCGAAGCAGGCTTTGTCTGCTGGGTCTGCTTTGGGATTGCTCATACTTCCGTCTTGAATCCCTTATCGTCCCGCGCTGGGCGTTACGAGAACGCCACACCAGTAGATACAAAAACCCGGCATGCCGTGATGCGCTGAGGTTTGCTTCTTAACCGCCACTTTCCCCCGCCTTCCTCGACGTCACGACCCGACCAGCGACCATGACCTCGAAGAAGAACGCGGTGGACGTGTCGACCGTCGAGAGCGGCGCGAGTATCGCTCCGCGCGGCGATGAGGCGGAGCTCGCGCGAATGGGGTATAAGCAGGAGCTCAAGTGCGTTTACCGGCTACTACTACCCGTATGCGGCAGGCTCTGACTCAGTTCATGCAGACGCGACCTCTCGCTGCTTCAGGTGCGCTCATCTTGGTCCGATTCTTGACGCGCAGTACTGACGCGCGCTACAGAACTTCGGTGTTTCGTTCTCTATCATCTCCGTTATCACGGGCGTGTCTTCGCTCTTCTTGTATGGACTAGTACGTCTATCTGTCGAAGTGTTTGGGTGCACGCTCTGACACTGTCTCGCAGACGACAGGTGGACCAGGCGTCATGGTGTGGGGTTGGGTGGTCGTTTGTGCGTATCTACCGCTCTATAGGCGCGCATGACCTCACCTCCGCTCTTGATAGCCTTTTTCACGATGATGGTTGGTCTCGCAATGGCCGGTACGTACCTGATAGCATCCTCTATATCCATAGGCTGAACACCCTCGCAGAGGTCTGCAGCGCACACCCAACAAGCGGCGGCCCATACTTCTGGGCCGCAATGCTCTCGCCCGAGCGCGACGCGCCCCTCGCGTCGTGGGTCACCGGCTGGTTCAACTTGCTCGGCCAAGTCGCCGTCACGACTGGCATCAGGTGCGCCGCGCGGTGTACCCCGATAACGACTGCATATATTGACTTCACGCGCGTGATAGCTTTGGCTGCGCCAACTTCATCTCCACCGCGAGCACGCTGGGGACGGACTACGTGCCCACGCCCGGCAAGACGATTGGGATCTACGCTGCTGTGCTTTTCAGCCAAGGTCTTATCAATACCTTCGGCGTGCGCACGCTGAAGTACCTCAACAACGTTTCGGTCTTCTGGCATGCGATTGGAACGGTGGCTATCGTCATTGCATGTCTCGCCGCCGCGCCGAAGCACCAGACTGGGAAGTTCGTCTTCGCGACGTTCATTGATGGGACGGGTGTAGATGGGAAGGGCTGGTCGCAGGTCGCGAGTCCGGCGTATGTTGCGGTCATTGGGTGCTTGATGGCACAGTATACCCTGACTGGCTTCGACGCGTCTGCGCACGTACGGCTATTCAATTCCTACACGCGCTCATGTTTTGACGACTCCCGTAGATGACTGAGGAGACGAACAACGCCGCTGTAGCTGGCCCTCTTGGTATCATCATGGCTATCGGCGTCTCTGCCGTCCTCGGCTGGTTTTTGCTCCTCGGAATGCTCTTCTCCATTCAGGACTACGACGCCACCGTCAACTCCTCCACCGGCCAGCCTATTACGCAGATCTTCCTCGATTGCGTTGGCGAGGACGGCGCAATCGTACTCATGATGATTGGTGCGTTCGCTCTGGCATCTTTCACCTCAACCCTCACTGATATACTTGATCAGTTATCGTCTGCATGTACCTCTGCGGCACCTTCTCCGTCACAAGCAACTCGCGCATGATGTACGCCTTCGCGCGCGACGGCGGCGTCCCCGGCCACAAATTCTTCCACTACGTCAACGAGCGCTGGCAATCGCCCATCCGCACCGTCTGGCTCGCCTGCACCCTCTCCTTCTGCCTCGGCCTGCCCTCCCTCGGCTCGAGCGTCGCCTTCTCCGCCGCGACGTCCATCGCCACCATCGGGCTGTACATCTCGTACGCCGTGCCCATCGCGCTGAGGCTGATATATAGGAAGCAGTTCGCGCGCGGGCCGTTCCATTTGGGGCCGTTTAGCTATCCTGTTGCGATTTTGGCTGTGGGATGGGTCAGCTTTATCGCGATTGTGTTTATTCTGCCCGAGGAGTACCCTGTCAACAGTCAGACGCTCAACTACGCCATTGTCGCGGTCGGCATCGTCATCACGTACTCGATTGGCTTTTGGCTTATCTCGGCGCGCAAGTGGTTCACGGGCCCGATTAGGCAGATTGAGGAGGAGCAGATGGCCGCGGGCGTGTTGCCGCCGAGGGAGGAGACGTTGGAGAAGAGCTCGAGCTCGCAGAATGAGAAGAGCGAGCACTCTTGAGTGTGGATTTGTTACAGTGTGCTATCTGTAGGACTGTATAGACTATCTTCTGCTGCCGAACCTTTCTAGTTGCGTCACTGGAGGCACCCCGCTACGAAGGCAGCGGCTCACTCAGACTCTGCTAATCCTACGCTCTGGACTGCTCAAGTCATCGTTGCCCCTACGACTATACTCACGCGAGAGTCGGAGCCGGTACAGTCCAACGCAACCAAGGCTGAGCGACTCGGAGATGTCGGAGGCCAGTACTCCCAGGCGGGCGCCGTACGGAGTACACGACCACAGCATGGCAGCCTCGTCCTTTGACAGAGGCACGGGTACGCCCACGCTAGCCCGGTATGGAACTCGAAGTGCGCCCCGACGAGCGTGGCCCTGGGCGATCTGCATCATGGCGGGAAGAGAGCGCTGTGGCTGTGGCGCACCGCGTTCAGCTCGAGGCGTGTGGGAGCTGTATGCCTTTCGTAGAGATCATCTTTTATTACTTCTTTGTTGGCGCGAGCGCGACTGTATGACGAAGAGGAGTAGATGATGTGGATAAGATAGGATCGAGTTGTCGTACAGGGTTTCATTTGAGCTGTACGCGATTAGGCACGAGTTGCGCGCGTGTGGGGTGCACCTACAAGGATACATAAGTCGAGTTGCTTCCGTTCGCTCCGAGACAGATCGAAATGGATATGCATCCGTCATGAGCGCCTTTCTTCTGACCTCCACCTACGACTGAGAGCATGCTGCTTTCCTTTTCTGACGGAGATGGCGACCAGCGCAGCGCGATGGCAACCGTGAAGACCGGCGGCGACGGCGACGTTCCCAAACACGCACCCACAATTCTCTTTCATCTACCACCAGCTCTCCTCATCATCCTGACACTCGTTTCGTACTTATCGACGCAGCCGCGCTGCCGTCCACACAGTCCCTTCTCGCTCTCCATCTCTTCTAGTTCTGTCGGTGTAGGAAGTAAAGTTTGCGAAGCACGAGGCTCGCATCAACAGGCGCAGGCACGGTGCTTACATAAGAGGTGAGGTTGAGTTCGAATTCGGGGCGCGTTGTGCACGTTGCGTCCCTCCCTCACGCCGTGGCCTGCGCGCCTTGTCCCTCCTGGTTCGCTGCCCACGAGGCTTAGATCTGCCTGCGCACGAGGCGATTCTGGCCCTACATTTTATCTACGGATATCTGTTCTTGTCTGCGAATACTCTTTGCACCCGCGCGTCTCCGTTCAAGGCGGTCACGGGCCCGAACTCGAACTCTTATTCTTGAACGCTTGAACGAACGCTCATACCCACCATGTCCTCCTCACGACCACAGGACTCTCAGGCCTCTTCTTCGCCGCACTCGCCCGATTTCCCGAGCAGGCCGCAACCCCCGGTGTCGTCACCGTCACCGGCACTGAGCGAGGGCTACCCGTCCTGGCTCCCCCAGCGGCCTCCGCCCCCGGAACCGCACTCGACCATCCAGTCTTCCACCGGAAACATGTTCGCGAGTGCAGCAGCGACCAGCGGCGCGGGCACGAGCAGCACCGACGCGCCGGCAGTCCCCGAGCCCAGCGCGAGCGTCCCGCCGCTCTGGGGCGGCCGCAAGCCGACGCCGCGCAGCGTGCGCATCGTCAAGACGCGCGAGCCGACAGACCAGACGCGCGTGGCGACCGCTACGCCCCGCGTATGGTCCCGCGCGACGGCGCCTACGCTCGCGGCGCGCACTATGCGCGTCAGCCGCCCGCGCTTCCGCACGCCGGGCTTGCACCCCGAGCTCTTGCGCGACCCGTCATGGCTCTCCCGGCTACACTTCTTCCTGTTTCCGCTTCTCGTTTTGGCGCACGTCCCGCTTCAGACGTTCTTCGATTTCAACGTCGCCTTCGTTCTCGTCGAGTGAGTTGCCGCCCATATCGAATATATTACATCCGAACGACGCTAAATGTTGATCTCGCTTCGCTTGCAGGATCGCGAAGTTTCCTAATCCCGTCGCAGCCGGTGTGCCGGGCTCGGGAAGCGGATGGGCGCTTGCGGCTGCGGCCTATGTCGCTTGCTGGTTCCTTTGGTTATTTGGTGTCTTCTTGGGCTACGAGTTGATATACTCGTTTTTCCGCCGGTGGCGATATCGTGAGTTTCAACTGTTGTATCAGCTCGGTTCACCATACTGATCGTACCCGTAGGGCGTCCGACTATCATGCCGCTATACCTCTCTTCGCCCGCTTTCAACTTCGTCTGCATGACCTCGTACAACAACTTCTGCTTCTTCCAGCACATCCGCGCCGCCGCAGTTCCACACGGCCGCTCACACGCCGTGCTCCCCTCAGCCGAAGGCGCCTGGCGCGACGCGCTCTCCGAGACATTCTACTTCTACTCGCAGAACCTGCCCACCGTCGCGCTCCTGCTTCCCCGCGCCGGCATCACTCTGGCTGTCCTACTCGAGTTCTGGTCGCCCAGGCTGCTTCCCGACGGCCAGTCGCTCGCGAACATCAGCTCTGCGGTCAGCATGCGCGACGGTACATTCTTCGACGCGAACACCGGTGGTCTATCAGGCTACGCCAAGGGCGTGCTCGCAACGAGCGCCGCATGGGCCGCATGGCGCATTCTCGTGCTGCTGATCAGCTGGTAAGCCACTCTTATTCCATTTCGGGCGGCATCATTGTCTAAGATGAATTCCCATCAGGCTCGGCTTGTGGATCTTCAGCGGGTTCGGATGCGGCGGCTTTTGCGGGCCCGCGACGCGGTGGGAGGAGGAGGAGAACGTGCGCGCGGCGTCGGTGTATAGCGAGAAGGACGTCGAGGCGGATAACGAGATTCCGTGGGCGTGGAAGGAGTGTACGGCGTTGAGGATCCAGGAGGCGTATGATTTCTGCTTGACGGTGCAGAGGCCGGTGTCTATGGTGCGCAAGGAGGCGACGGATGTTACGGCCGAGCAGGACGCGCTCGATTCGGAGGGTGTTAATCGTGTACTTGCCGCTGTTGGGCTTGCGCCTCCTGCCGCTCAACACCCTTCGCGTCGCCCGATGCTCTCGCAGGACCTATTCGAGAGTCCCCCGCATGACGACGTGGATGTAGAGGCGCAGGAGGAACATCCCGCCGAGGGCCCATATCCGTTCCAGGGCTTCGGTCAACATCGGGACTCGTCGTCGTCGCAGCAAGTACCGTTCCCGCCGTCACCCGGTCAAACTGGTGAGGGCGAGCATGAGGGTGAAGAGGGCGAGGAGGAGTACGAGGAGTACGAGGAAGAGGAGAGCGTCGAGCCGCGCACTAGCCAGGACGTGCCGTCTTCCGGACGCGCGTCGAACTCGATGTCCAGCCTCGGTCAACCCATACCCGGCCGCTACCCCTTCACGTTCCGCCACCCCGCCTCGCGCGGCGGTAGCGTCTCCTCCATGGGCGCGTTCTCGGCGGCTACGCGGTCGCACCATACACCGCAGAGCAAGAGCACGTCGTCCAAGACCCACTCCACCGGCGGCTCGCGTATTTCGCGCTCGACTGGCAACGCGGAAAGCTCAGATTCGCCTGCCAGTCACGTCGGCGATTCATCGGGCGCACCCAGTCCACAGGGCATGAATGCCCATATCCCTATGCCGCCTCGCCACCCTGCTCCGCGTGCTGGTCGTGGGCGCGCTGGCACCGTACCCATGCCCGTGTCACCTTCACCTGCCTACTACGGTCGCGCCCGTGCCGGTACGCATACGACGAGTGCGGAGAGCGCAACCGATCTCGAGCCCAGCATCGTCTACGAATCCGAGTTCGAGGATGGCGTCGTTGGCACGCTGGATCTCACCGGTATGACTGGTAGTCTCGGTCGAAGGAGTGTGCGCAGCGGTACCGGCGCAAGCCTCAGCGCTGAACAGCGCACGACCGGTACCGCTTCACCTTCGCCCGAGTCCATCCTCGCTCTCGAGCGCGAGGGCGAAGACAGCGTCGGTCTTCTCTCGGCTGGTCCCAGCCCGCGCGGATCGAGCGTCGGCCTCCGCTCGCGCAATTCGAGCGCTGGTTCACATTCACGCTCGCGCAGCGGCTCCTCGCGCTCTCGACATGGCTCACATCAATCTGGTCGCTCTCGTCACGGCTCGCACCTCTCGGTCTCCTCCGCTGGCATCGGCATCGGCACTTCGAACTTCCGCGCGCGCACGACGTCCCTCATCCACAGCATCGGCTCGGCGTCGCGTTCAAGTCTCGAGCGTGTACGCTCCCGCGCGCAGAGCCTCGTCCGTATCGAGGATCTCGACGAGCGCTCGAGTGCGTCCTTCGAGCGCGAGCGTCGTGCGCGTGAGGGTGCCGGTTCGCCGTATATGTCGGAGGCTAGCGAACGCGTCAGTTCTCCGGAGAACTATACATTCGGTCAACGACTTGCGGGCGCGGGCGGCTTGCACAATACGCGGCCGCGCGCGCCTACGGAGTCGAGCGAGGACCCGCGCTCCGACGTTGATGGCGAGGCTGAGGCGGACGTTGAGGCTGCAGGGTCCGGATCCGTCTCGGCGGCGCACTCCCAGCCCGCGCATAGCCTGCGTGAAGCGTCGTCGAACGTTAGCGGTGGCTCGCGTCCTGAGTCGTTCTCAGAGCAGACTGTCTCCGTCCGCATTCAGCCCTCGGACGAGGAGCGCGAACCGCAGACACCCGTCGTCGATATTCCTGGCCGCCAGCAGCAACAGAACCTCGGTCTGCAGATCCCCGGTCAACAACGCACTGGCATGGGCGTGCGCGCCAGCAACGACATGCTCGGTTCCGCGGCACCATCGTTCATCACGCAGCCCACTATCATGACCCAGCAGACCGACTCCAGTGGCCGTACGCCATCGTCTTGGGGCGACGACGACTACATGCGCGGCAGCGCCTTCAAGCCGCGTTAACGCACGAACGCCCGCCTCGCTCTCATGTCTGCTCGTTCACGACCCCAACGCCTGTTCCCGCCCATGGCTACGGATCTGGATTACCTCGTAGCTCGCCGCCGTTCACGAAGAATTCTTGATTGCTCACTGTTCTCGCTCAACCCAATCGCGCACCTTGTTGTCCCCTTTCTGCTAGCTCGCCTCGTCTCGTTCTGCGCACCCCTTGACGGCGTGCTGGCATCTTGTACTTATTGCTCATTTAGACCGCATCTTCCACACTGCTGTCGACTGTTCGCATTTGCTTGCTTTACTTACTTATACACCCCATCACGCCATTTACCACTCCTCTCTATGCCCTCCTCCCTCCATCCGATACTCCTTGCCCCTTACCCTCTACCGACTGCTTCACTTGTGCGATACCTGTACGCTCCTCACGACATTACGTCGTTCCCGCCCCGCTCTCATCCCCATCGACCGATCGATATTAGTAGTACCCACCACACATCCTCCTAGCCTAGCACCGCAAAATACAACGATAGTCTGAATCGAACGAACCATGCGGCAACAGCGCAACTGTATTGCAAAGAAAGAGACGTACACCAGGCGTGAACAGGACTTCGTCTGTGACGCGGAGAGAATGCGCGCGCGACCGTGACACGCGAGCACGCCGCGACTTGACTTCGGACCACGACGACAACTCCCCGCACTCCCGTTCTCCACTCGGCTCACCACGACAAGATACAGTGCGTGTCTCTGAGTACCGTAAAACTAGCATGCGGCTGGATATACTCTGGTCCACCGCCCTCGACGAATGGACGACATGACTTGCATCCGCTGGCGACTCGACTCGGTGGCCTTCTACGGACGACATCGAACTTCTTTCTAATAACGGCAGCTTCCCGAACGAGAGCACCGAAAGCATCAATTTATCACACAGTGCTCACAGCTGGCTCGAATTACTCGCGGTAAGACATACTGAGCGACCGGCAGGTGCCACGAGTGCCATCGCTGACGGCGGCGCTGCGCTAGGTGCGTCGTATACGTAGGTAGACCTCGCGATTCGTACGTATAAAGTCAGTGACAGGATTCCATACTCGCCAGCGCCCACGCGCGTAACAAATTGGGCGACTCCCGTACGCCGGACAGTCACCACGTCCACGCGTCCTTACCCGGGATCACACAGCTCGCTAGCGTGCCAACGCGCCGCTTCCCTCGCACGGGACTTCATACGGAGTCGCTAACGCGCCACATGCGGCATATGCTCCCGCGACCCTATACGACAACGTGGGACGCAACATCGTCTGTGTTGCACAGACCAACTGCAACAAGAACGGCAACGTGAACGAGACCAGGGCGAAACGACCACCGGGAAAACGACTCGACGGCACGCGTCTCACCTCACCGTCTGCGGTATTACGTGGGCCATGCTGCACAGTGCCATCGGCAGCGAAGGATGAATAGGTTTTGGCGCGATTGTTCGTACACCCATGGCGATCGCTGTCGCCGCGTCGTTTCTATTCTGTGTACTGATACTTGTCGTGCATACAAATTAAGTAGAATAATGTGTAAATCATAATGCCACGTGAAAGTCAGACTCACACGCGACTGCGCTCGAGATAGTGCAATAATCAGTGAAAGAGACGAACGAGGGAGCGAGTCCGAGTGTGTGAAGGGGAGTGCTTGAAGGGTAAAGTAGTAGTGTGTAGAGTACGATGCGAGACGAGTGGACTGTGCAGTACGGGAAGCAAGTGTGTACTGGCTGTACTGTGTTGCTAGGTGAGTTTGGAAGTAAGCACGGTAGTTTTTCCAGTACAGAGGATGTCCGCGGAGGGTAAAAGATAGCTTGGGAGCCGTAGAAAGCAGTGTTTGGCTGCCAGGACACGGGGACTAGCTTGAGATGTGTGGATTGCGAGTCAGGTAGCAAGACAGTTCGACCCGGAACCAACGGTCGGGAGTCGGAAATCATCGAGTAGAGTGTGTTGAGTCAAGTGTGTACGCGTAGTTCAGATACTTTGCAAGGGAATACAGCCAGATGCGAGTCACGTCATCAAGGTTTACGCATCTTGAAGTATCGAACGGAGTGCTTAGCTGTGTGAAATGTTGCCAGAGTACAGTGTAGACTGACGGTTGCGATCTGGCGGGTGTCGGGATGTCCGCAGAGGGATGCGAACGGCTAGATGGTGCGTTTCGGGAGTCGGCACCCGGATCCCTGACAGTCTCGGTCACAGGGAATGCGGCGAAGCGCTTGGTTGATGCTGCAGACAAGGCATCCAATGCATGACTTCACTGTTCAGTCAACAACCCAGTGCGTACGGCCGAGCTTAAGTGCAATAATCAGTGAAAGAGACGAACGAGGGAGCGAGTCCGAGTGTGTGAAG